AAGCGACACCACAGGAATGGAGGGACATGGTGCTGAAAACCCTGACGGCGGAGGAGGTTTTTATGGCCGCCAGGCTGGTACAGACGGCATCTTACCGGCCGGCGAATTTTTCTACTACAGACTGGACTATGCAAGAGACGGGGTACTATACGGTACGAGAGTTTCGGTTGACAAGAAGAAACACATAAGCCAGATCGGGTACGCCAGCATGACGGACATCAATTTTCTGCGGGCTACCCCTATGGTGGTGATGGAGGGGAAGATACGGGGTGCTCTTGGTGCTCCAAGGATGCGGCTGCTACGCTCACAGATTTGTGACAAAGGAGAGCGTGCCGAGCTGAAACAACTGCGGAAGGCGATGAAACCCCCGGTGTCTCAGCCGAAGCAACAGCTGCAGTGGGAGGAATTGCTGGGGAAGAAGGTGGACTGGAAAAGGGCTATCCGAGTCCGCGACTCCCTCTCGACCCCAAGCAGAGCGAGAGAAATCATCCTACGGGTACACAGTAACAATCTTCAAGTGGGGGAACGCCTCCCCTTCCTGGGAGCACGGGCGAGATGCATACACTGTGGGGCAGTGGAGTCGCAGAATCACTGCCTTTTCAGCTGCCCGTCAATACAACCTATGGTCGGAATGATGAAGGCAGCAGTACAGTGGATGAACCCTGGCAGGGAGGTGGAGTCCCTTGGCGACATGCTTTTCCAGGAGAGCGGCACGTCGACGGGTTTTCCGGAATCAGCGCTAATCTCCTCCACAGCGCACCAAATCTGGTTGGAGAGGTGTAACGCGGTTTTCAGGGGTAGCCGCTTCCAGCCAAAAAGAGCCCTGCGGCGGATTGCTGTCAACTTCACGAGGCATGTGAAAATTTACAGTCGGGCGCGGAAACGGGCGGCGAACAAGCCCGGGTTGAGAAGGAAAGGGGAATGGTGCCAGCTGGATGCTGACGAAGCGAGTGTCATGCGCAGGCTGTTTGATTCGGAGGCCTCGATGACGTGGAGATCGGGTTTCAAAGCAGTATGGGAGGATAGGGGGATAGCCTTTCAGCCACCGTAAATGAGATAAGGGGGGTGGGGTTACAATAGTAACTTTCTACACTCTCCTAGCTCCAGTTAAGACTGAGGATATGTGTATGCATGTTGTATACTTATATATATATATATATATAAAAAAAAAAAGCTTTAGGTCGTATCATGCCTCATTGAGCCGCATTGAGACGAACTTTTCGGTCAAGGCGTGTAACATTGCTGTGACCAAACAAAAAATCCGACCATTTGGTTGGGGCATGCGAATGCGAATGGATGCAAGATTTTCCCGCCAAATGACCACGATAACGACCAAATTGGCAAACGCCCAAACCAAGTGACCGTATGTGCGACCAGTTTGGTCTCGAAAACATTCCCGCCGTGATAGTCACCCGCAGAAAAATTTTGAGGTACCACCCACAAATTAGCATTACGTGGTATTCCCCGAATTTTCGTCGCGAAGGCCTCTGAGGTTGCTAAACACTACCATCTTTTCTTGACCCGTATATACACACCCCGTTCGAATGTTGATTTGGATTAGACCTCTAAATTATAATTACGGGGGTACGCAAGGGTGGGTGCCCCTAAATCGACCACGCAAGAACCGTGGTCATTGTAAATCTAAAGAAAACGCCCCAGGTGTTTGTTACCACTTCCCTCGCATATCGACCAGCACGACCAAATGGTCGGATTTTGGGTTTGGTCACTGCAATGTTACACGCCCTAATAGAAAAGGAAGTCATTCCCTGGGCGAAAAAATATGAACCTTCGCCCCCCACAACACCCGCACTCCCTCGCTTCCTACTCCCACCCCCCACCACCACGCCCCAACACTTTCCCTGATGTTTTGTAGTCGCAAAACTGGGTGTGAAAAACAAGCGTGTTCGTTCTAGTTGGTGACTGGACTAGATTGACAAAAGATGTGGAAGATGCATCGCCTGCCTTCGCACGGCTCGCAACCAATGGTTGCTGGCTGTGTGCACTTTGCCCTTCTCACCTGCTGTCCTGTGGGAGGAAGGAATGCCTTGTGTGTAGATTCGATACTATACAGTACAGCATGGTGCTGGCTGGACAAGGGGACTGACCACCAGGCCTCTCTTTTCGTTTTGAGGCACTCTTCCATTTCAGGGTTCACCCGATCCGCCACCCGGTCCTGGTAGTGGCAGGGTAGTTTTTCTCAAATCTGATTTGTGGCAGGGTCATAATTTCAGCAACCCTGCCTTTGCTCCGCAAGCTTGCGTGCTGCTTCAGTTAGTGGAATTTTAGTGGGGCGAGGGTAGCTGGGAGGTCTCGGCGTGCGTTAAGGCGAGTTCTTAGATTTGACAAGTTCTCCCTACTTAGACGAATTTCAGTCCGAACACGGGAGTTCGGAGTTTTCGACGAGTTTTAACTTCAAAGAATTTCGGAGAGAGGAGTGGAGTAGAGAGATCTCCGCTCAACTTTATACAAATTTCACGGAGAAGAATAGTGGAGAGATCTCGGCTGACGAATTTCAGACAGAAGAAGTAAGTTGTGAGTGATCCGCTCAACTTTATACTTAGACGAGAGATCTCGGCTCAGTTTTATACTTCGACAAATCTCAGTCAGAAGTGGGACAGAGAGATCTCGGCTCAAACTTGTACTTAGACGACAGAGTTGTGCGGATGGCCGGGTTCTTTTGAAGAGAACCCTTTCACGGCCGAGTTACAGAAGTCCAAACCCGGATAGTGGCCGGGTCAATCGGACGGGACCCAGGTTTGGCAGGGTCGGTACAAACAATCACCCTGATTGGAAGGGCAATCAGGGTAAAACTCCCTGAAAAGGAGAGCCCTGCTGACCACTGAGGCAGGGGAGGGAGATTCTAGCGAAGTACAGAACTGTACAGAACTGTACTGAATGCTGCCATGCCAACCAACCGAATGGGAAGTGCCTAATCTCTCCTCTCCTCCCAGGAGTCAAATGGTCAACTTCAGAGTTCAACATTTCCCCTGGGAATGCCTAGAACTTTCCTCCATACCATGTGGAACCGGCTTAGCAGTGCCCATGCTGCCTCTGACAAACACTCCACGAATGCCTTGTTTGACATTTTGCTTCCAGGCGATCTCTCCTATCTGCCTAGCCCCTATGTCTGCTTGATTCGAGCACGCTTCGTTCATTTCTAAGCACGCTTCCTAGTGTAATAGAAGGGCGAGGAGCCGAGCCTGTGTTAGAATGACTTTTGAGGAGCCTCAGAAGGTCGTTCTATTCTAAAGCACGCGTCCTAGTCTAATAGAAGGGCGAGGAGCCGAGCCTGTGCTAGAATGACTTTTGAGGAGCCTCGAAAGGCCGTTCTATTCTAAAGCACACGTCTTAGATTAATCAGAGGCCGAAGAGCCAAACCAGTGCTAGAATGAGTTGGAAGTGGTCGCAGGAGCCAAGCCCGCGAGGCCAGGCCGAGCCGCTCGAGCAGCAGCCGCTGCAATGGGTGCTCGAGGTGACTCCCCAGCTGGACGTCAGTCGCAGCACTCTCGCCGTCGCTCTCGCCGACGCAGAGAGCTTGAAAAAATCGCACGAGTCGTCGCACGGATCGTCGCACGGCGGGTCGTCGGAAGTTACTGGAGCAGGCACGGAGCTTCCCGTGTTCATTCTAGTCGCCGTCATGCAAGACGCTACCGCACCTCCCTGTACGCATGATAAGATGGCCTCGATATGCGTCCTTGAGAGCTTAAACGGTACCTAAGCAGTCTTCATTGCGTATTCACGCTACGTAACGCGTGTTTCACGGAATCACGTAACGAGGATTCTTCTAAATGGAATGGCTTCCACGTGTTGTGTTTTGAGACGTCTCAAAAGGATCCTTGTAATTGGAATGGCTTCCACGTGTTGTGTTGTAGCAGTGCGCCGGCACCGCAGAGCAGACCAAATCTCCACATGCTTCCGAAATTCGTTTTCTTAACAGTTGCTACGGCCGACCGACCGGCCGTGTACACTTAATATGTTCCTTAACCGACACATTGTGGAGGTAGGGCATTGTCAGATGCGCGGGGCATTATGCACATGGCATTGTCAGATGCGCGGGGCATTATGCACATGGCATTGTCAGATGCGCGGGGCATTATGCACATGGCATTGTCAGATGCGCGGGGCATTATGCACATGGCATTGTCAGATGCGCGGGGCATTATGCACATGGCATTGTCAGATGCGCGGGGCATTATGCACATGGCATTGTCAGATGCGCGGGGCATTATGCACATGGCATTGTCAGATGCGCGGGGCATTATGCACATGGCATTGTCAGATGCGCGGGGCATTATTCACATGGCATTGCGCGTGGGACGTCGCGCGCGTGGCATTGTGCGCTTAACATGAAGCGTGTGGCTTTAGGCGCGCGCGCGACATTGTGCGCGTAGGGTAGGGTACTCTCGGATTATGCAGGTCAGTCAGTCACATTGCGAATTATCCATTGTCATCAGCACATGCGTGCGTACTCATCTCATTCGGATGCATCCATGCGAGTCTCTCTCCTCTCATCTGCCATGACAATGGACGAGGCAGTGTGGCTAGCGGAGGCAGAGGAGCCGCCGCCGTCCCAAACACCTAAACACAGCAGCTGCGTGCATGTGCATCCATGCGTTTATACACTCACCCCCATGCACGCGTGTCTCTCCTTCTCTCCTCTCCCTCTCTCGCTCTCCCCCTCCCCCCCCCCCAGCCCCCACCCCACGGTACGGCGCACCATGACAATGGACGAGGCAGTGCGCCTGGCAGAGGCAAAAGAGGCACCTTTCGATGCCACCATTCATTCCTCGCTCTCCCTCCCCCATGGCTCCTCCCCCTCCCCCCACGGCTCGCCCCCCTCCCCCACGGCTCCTCTCCCCCTCCCAGCGCCCATGGTGCGGCGCACCATGACCATGGACGAGGCAGTGCGCCTAGCAGAGGCAGAAGAGGCGCCTTTCGATGCCACCATTATTTCCTCGCTCTCCCCCCCTCACGGCTCCTCTCCCTCCCCCCCCCCTCAGCGCCCATGGTGCGGCGCACCATGACCATGGACGAGGCAGTGCGCCTGGCAGAGGCAGAGGAGGCCATCATTCGCAAGATGCTGCAGCCACTCAAGACTCTTGCACACAGCCGCCATGTGAGATGATCATAACGCCGTGCTGGCTGCTTGGTTGATAGTTTTGAGAGGTCTCAAAACTCGCAGAGGAGGCCGTTATTCGCAAGATGCTGCAGCCACTGCAGACCCTTGCACACACACAGCCGCCAGGTGAGTCGCTCGCTACGCTGGCTGGTTCCTTGAGAGGCTGAAAGGCTAGGAGCGCAACCAAAAGTGGAAGTGAATGTCTATTCAATGTATTTGAGGGACAAGATGCATATGGAGTAGCAGCAGTAGCAGCAGTGTGTACCATGCGAAGGCAAGGCCCTGTGGTCGGTGCGTGTAGCTCACTTGGACCATAACTTTGCTTTTGCTCCATCTGACTTCTGCCAGCACCTTTGTCTCCAGGTGCGAGCAGTGAAGCATCGGGAGCGCAGCAGCGACCATGAGAAGGAAGGCCACGTGCGGCCAGTCATAACACTCGTCCTGTTCCCCCTGCTCTCCCCCTGCTCTCCCCCTGCTCTCCCCCTCCTGCCCCCAGGTGCGAGCAGTGATGCATCTGGAGCGCAGCAGCGACCACGAGAAGGAAGGCCACGTGCGGCCAGTCATAACACTCGTCCTGTTCCCCCTGCTCTCCCCCTGCTCTCCCCCTCCTGCCCCCAGGTGCGAGCAGTGATGCATCTGGAGCGCAGCAGCGACCACGAGAAGGAAAGCCACGTGCGGCCAGTCATAACACTCGTCCTGTTCCCCCTGCTCTCCCCCTGCTCTCCCCCTGCTCTCCCCCTCCTGCCCCCAGGTGCGAGCAGTGATGCATCTGGAGCGCAGCAGCGACCACGAGAAGGCCCTCTGTGATGCAGTCAAGCGGTTCTCCGCCTCCCGGGTCTACATCGGGGTCAGAAAGTGAGTCGGGGGCCTTTGATCAAGGGCAAGTGGAACAGAAAGTGAGTTGGGGGCCTTTGATCAAGGGCAAGTGGAACAGAAAGTGAATCGGGGGCCTTTGATCAAGGGCAAGTGGAACAGAAAGTGAGTCGGGGGCCTTTGATCAAGGGCAAGTGGAACAGAAAGTGAGTCGGGGGCCTTTGATCAAGGGCAAGTGGAACAGAAAGTGAGTCGGGGGCCTTTGATCAAGGGCAAGTGGAACAGAAAGTGAGTCGGGGGCCTTTGATCAAGGGCAAGTGGAACAGAAAGTGAATCGGGGGCCTTTGATCAAGGGCAAGTGGAACAGAAAGTGAGTCGGGGGCCTTTGATCAAGGGCAAGTGGAACAGAAAGTGAGTCGGGGGCCTTTGATCAAGGGCAAGTGGAACAGAAAGTGAGTCGGGGGCCTTTGATCAAGGGCAAGTGGAACAGAAAGTGAGTCGGGGGCCTTTGATCAAGGGCAAGTGGAACAGAAAGTGAGTCGGGGGCCTTTGATCAAGGGCAAGTGGAACAGAAAGTGAGTCGGGGGCCTTTGATCAAGGGCAAGTGGAACAGAAAGTGAGTCGGGGGCCTTTGATCAAGGGCAAGTGGAACAGAAAGTGAGTCGGGGGCCTTTGATCAAGGGCAAGTGGAACAGAAAGTGAGTCGGGGGCCTTTGATCAAGGGCAAGTGGAACAGTGAGTCGGGGGCCTTTGATCAAGGGCAAGTGGAACAGAAAGTGAGTCGGGGGCCTTTGATCAAGGGCAAGTGGAACAGAAAGTGAGTCGGGGGCCTTTGATCAAGGGCAAGTGGAACAGAAAGTGAGTCGGGGGCCTTTGATCAAGGGCAAGTGCTTCCCTGCTTTGCAAGAGTTGGAAGTTGAAGGTGGGGAGGGCTGGAATGGAAGGAAGGCGAAGGATAAAGAACAGTCATGAAGAGAAGGGAAGGGACTGCCTCACAAGCTTGCAAGCCAACACAAGCTTGCAAGTGTCGCTATCAGTTGTAGTGGGGTGGAGTGAGAGTGCGTGAGGTGGTCTGTTATGCAGCCAAGCTCCTCTTTGCTTTCCTGCTTTGCAAAAGTGGGAAGTTCAAGGTGGGGAGGGCTGGACTGGAAGGAAGGCGAAGGATAAAGATCAGTCATGAGGAGAAGGGACTGCTGCACAGGCTCGCAAGCCACGCTGATATCTTCGTTTTCTCCCCTCTTTTTTCCTCTTTCCTCTCCCCTCTCCCCCTTTCCCCACCCCCCTCGCAGGAAGTTCCTGTGGTCGAATTCCCTCAGCAGCGCGCCCACAGCCTACTATGAGACGAACCTCCCTGACGGCTGTCTGCTGGCGGTGGCGCAGGGGTCGCGGCGGGTGGCAGAAATCCCCGTGCATCCCAAGGGCCCCCTCCGCAGTCGCACCTCTCACTTGCTCCCAATGCTCCCACCCTCATTCCCCACACGTTCTCCCCTTATCCCTCTCCCCTCTCCCTTCCCTTTTTCTCCTCCTCCCACCTCACAGGAAGTTCCTGTGGTCGAATTCCCTCAGCAGCGCGCCAACAGCCTACTACGAGACGAATCTCCCGGACGGCTGCCTGCTGGTGGTGGCGCAGGGGTCGCGGCGGGTGGCAGAGATCCCCGTTCATCCCAAGGGCCCCCTCCGCAGCCGCACCCTCAGCCGCTCCAAACGCTCCCAGGCTGGCTTTGACCCGCCGCTCACTCCCACCGGCAGTGCTGCTGGTGCTGGCGGTAGTGTTGGTGGCGCGGTGGGAGGGGATGGGAAGGGCAGGGGCAGGGGACGAGGTGTGGGCAGGGGTGTGGGTAGCGGTGTGGGCAGGGGTGTGGGTAGGGGGGCAGGGAAGGGGGCGGAGAGGGGGGCAAGCATGGGGTTTCCTCGCTCGGCGTCGTCAAATGCTGCTTTGGAGGGGGGAAGCAGGGGTGGAGAGCGGTGGCCTGACGCTGGTAGCGCTCGTGCTGGTGCTGCTGCTGGTACTGGTACTGGCACGGTAGTTGGTGTGGGTGCTGTGATCGGTGGTGGTGTTGGGAGCAGCAGCAGCGGAGGGCGGGGCGGGGTTGGCAGCAGAGGAGAGGGAGAGAGGGGGCGCGGTGACGCCCCTGAAAGCAGGGTTCAGGCGGGCAGGCTTAGGGTGATTGTGCCGTCTAATAGAGAGGTGGACGGGTGGGGGGGGCAGAACCAGGGCGAGCAACGTCAAAGGGAGCAGAGCCAAGGGGAAACGAGTCAGGGGGAGGATAGTCAGCGGGGGGGACTAGGGTTGGAGGCGGAGGGGGGAGATGGGGATGATGCACTGGCGGAGCTTGGGGAGGAATGGGTCAGAAGCAGGAGGAGAGAGGCGCCACCATCAGGTCAAACGCCAGGTGCTTCATCAGGTGCTGGATCAGGTGGTGTGTCAGGTGCTGCATCAGGTGCAGTGGGGTCAAAGCGAGCAGGTCGCCACCAGCGGAGCCACTCCATGCAGCTGCTTTCACCGCACCCCACCGCTCTCTTCTCCCCCTCACTCCCTCCCTCTCACCCCCGCCGCCTGTCCATATCAGACGCCCTAGAAACAGAGGACAGTGCTCCAGGGCACACAGGAGGCCTGGGGCGAGGGGGGAGAAAGAGGAGAGAGGGAAGAGAGGGGGGAGTCAAAGAGGAGGTTGATGAGGTAGAGGAGGAAGAGGAGGAGGGAGTGATGGGGTCCCATGGTAGGAACCTTCCCAGTGACTACCATGCCCATGTCAGCCAGTTCGGGCCGTTGAGTGTGCGTGGCAACCCCACCACTCCCCGCCTCTTCTCCCCAGATGACTGGTCCTTCCCTATAGATGATGCTGCCTCTGATGCTTCTGATGCTACTTGGCCGTCTGGTGCTGCTGGTGCGTCTGGTACCTCTGCCCCCACGACTCCCAAGGGTGAGGGCATGGCAGGGAGAGGCTCAGGGAGGGCTGATGTCATGGCAGCATCTGGAGGGCTTGCGAGGCCTGATAATGTGAGTGGGCGTGGGAGTGGGAACGGGGATGCGGGTGGGAATGCTGGTGGGGAGAAAAGGGAGAAAAGGCCAGGAGTAAGTGCAGGTGAAGGAACATTCACAGGAACATTCGCAGCAGCAGGAGCAGGAGCAGGAGCAGGCACAGGCACAGGCACAGGCACAGGTGGGGGCGGGCAGGAGGCAAGGCGAGTGTGGCGCAGCCGGTTTCGCAGTGCAAGTGTGAGCGAGGTGCCTCTCTCGCCCTCCCAGCTGCTCTCCCCCTCTGGCCTGCTCTCCCCCGAGCGCCCCTTCTCTGCTATCTCCGCCTGGGATGCGCTCCCTGTGCGCATCGGAGGCAGTGCGGTGGAAACAGGGGGGAGGGTGATGGGAGGGGAGGCGCTAAAGTCGCCGCGCATGGGGGGGAGTGCTGTGGAGACAGGGGGGAGGCAGATGGTTGAGTCGACGCACAAGTCGGCTCGTGTAGTGGGCAGTGGCGCTGGTGCTGGTTCTGGTGCTGGTAGTGCTGGCGCTGGTAGTGGTGGTGGTGGTGGTGGTGCTGCTGCTGGTGCTGGCGCTGGTAGTGGTGGTGGTGCTGGTGCTGGTGCTGCTGGTGCTGGCGCTGGTAGTGGTGGTGGTGGTGGTGCTGGTGCTGCTGCTGCTGCTGCTGCTGCTGCTGCTGCACCTGGTGGTTCTTCTTACAGGGATGCTGACGAGGACGAGGATGAGGATGACGTGTTTGAACAGCTGATGCGGCGCCAGCTGGACACAGTGAGCAGCAAGAACAGCAACAGTAAAAGCAACAGCATGGTCAGCGGCAGCAGCAACAACAGTCATGCCCGCACCGCATCAGCCTCTGGCTCCTCCACCCGGGATGTGCTGCCCGCATGCATGGAGGGGACCAGTGCTGCGGAGACAGGGGGGAGGCAGGTGGGAGGGAGTGGGGATGGCTGGGGGACTGAGAGCAATGTGTCGTCTGCTGCTGCTTCTGCTGGTGATGCTGACGAGGACGTGGATGAGGATGAGGATGATGTTTTTGAACAGCTGATGCAACGCCAGCTGGATGCAGTGAGTAGCAACAGCAAAGTCAACGGCAGCAGCAGCAACAGCAGCAGCAGCAGCAGCAGCAGCAGCAGCAGCAGCAGCAGCAGCAGCAGCAGCAGCAGCAGCAGCAGCAGCAGCAGCAGCAGCAGCAGCAGCAGCAGCAGCAGCAGCAGCAGCAGCAGCAGCAGCAGCAGCAGCAGCAGCAGCAGCAGCAGCAGCAGCAGCAGCAGCAGCAGCAGCAGCAGCAGCAGCAGCAACAGCAACAGCAGCCATGCCCGCAATGCATCAGCCACTTGCTCCTCCTCTCCTGCTCCTCCTCTTCCTCCTCCTTTGGCCTCTGCTGCTGCTGCTGGATGGCAGGTGCAGCTGCTGCACAATCACAGTGACAGTATGCATGGTGATGGTGATAAAATCAACTGCGATAAAATCAACAGTGATACAATCAACGGTGATACTGCCACTCGCTGCAGCAGCAGTGCCCACCTGTCCCACCAGATCTTGAACACCACACCTGCAGCCTCGGCAGCCACAGCCTCGGTGGCAGCCACAGGTTCGGGTGGATCCCCTAAGCTTCGGATGCTCACCACCAAAGGATCTGGCTCAGGTTCAGGTTCAGGTTCAGGTTCAGGTTCTGGTTCAGGTTCAGGTTCTCGTCTGACGTCTGGGCTGGGGCTAGGCCGAGCAGCGGCAAGAATGCTCTTTCCCAAGTCTTCCAGCGGCGGCAGCCGCACGGGGCGAGAGGACAACACTCCCCAAAGCCCCCTGGTTTCCCCTCCCCCGTCGGATCCTGAGGGTGATGCGTACCAACGGACACGATCGCTCGGCACGATTGACATCATTAGATATAAACAGAGCAGAAACGCGAGCAGGCGGAGGAGCAGGGACTATGGGGAAAGCAGTGGCAGCGGTGCCAGCCCCTCTCAGAAATCTGCCAGCCTCCTTTCTCATCAATCCGCTACTCTCCACCCCTTGCAACAAGCTGTGCCATCAAATCAACAGTCTGTCTCTGAGGCGCCTCAAAAATCACCCCAGCAGCTGCCTCTGCCACTGGATGGACCAGCGAAAGCGCCAGTCCCGTGCCAATCTGCCAGGTACCCCATGCCTCCTCGCTCGCCTTCACGGCACACCCCTCCTCCGCTCCTCCCCTCGGCCGCTGCCGCTGCCGCCGCCGCTGCTGCTCCTGCTGCTTCTGCTGCTGCTGCTGCTGCTGCCAGCGCGTCTCCACCCCGTTCCGCTCGAAGAAATGCTGCTGTTGCCGCCTTTCCTCGGTCTGCTAGTGCGGGCAGCAGCAGCAACGGGGACAGCGGCAGAAGCCGAAGCCGCAACACTGACAGCAATTGTATCAATTACAGCAACAGCTACAGCAACAGCAGCGGCAGCAGAATCGAAGGACCAGAGCATGCCGCTGGTGGTGGTGGTGCTACTAGTGGAGTGGGGAGAAGCGCTAAAGAGGTGACGGAACCGGGGAGAGCAAATAGAGGAGGAGCTTTACCAGTGGCAGCAGAAGCAGGTGTGACGATGCTGCGAACCAAATCCGGAGAGATGCTAGGCCGCAACCAGCAGCAGCAGCAGCAGCAGCAGCAGCCGCAGCCGCAGAGGAGGGCTTTGGAGAGGTTTCCTGTGTGTCGCATGGAGCAGCGGCAGCAACAGGTGAAGCTGGCTTGGGATGACATTCTGGGGGACGGGCCTGATGCAGGACAGGCGCCAGCAGGGAGAGGTTCGCTTGTCCGCAAAGCAGTGAAGGCAGCAGGAGCCGCAGGAGCAGCAAAAGCAAGAGAAGCAGCGGGAGCAGCAAGAGCAACACGAGCAGCAGGAGCAGAGAAAGGCAGAGGTGGTGGGGAGTCGGAGCACACAACAGCACGGGCAAAAGGCGCGGCAGCAGAGGAGTTTGACTTTGGTGTGCCAGCAGAGACGGCAGGTGAGGTTGAAAGGCGCGAGTCTGTGGACCTGGCTATGGGTGGCAAGCCAATGCCCAGGGGTGGTGGCAGTGGCGGTGATAGCGGTGGTGGTGGTGGTGGTGGTGGTGGTTCAAGGCTCAATCAGGGCAGCAACAATGGCACCATGCTGAGCTCAGGTACAGAAGATGCAGCACGGGCAGCAGCAGAAGCAGCAGCAGCAGCAGCAGCAGGAGAAGCAGGAGGAGGAGAAGCCCAAAGTCCCGAGGATCTATCAGCGTCCAGCATCCCTCACCACCTATCGTCTCTTGGCCCCTGTCGGGTGTTCACTCTGCAGCAGCTAGCAGCAGCAACTGACGGTTTCAATCCCTCTCGCCTGCTGGGCTGCAGCAGTGGGGGCAGCGCAGGGGGCAGAGGGGAGGGCAGTGTGTATCGGGGAGAGCTGCTGGGGCGCCCAGTGGCGATCAAGCGGCTGCAGGGCCCAGGGATTACCCACAGGAGTCAGGGTCCTTACGCCACGTCAGCTGCCACGTCAGCGGCCACGTCAGCAGAGGCGGAGGCGTTTTGGAGGGAGGTGGGAGTGCTCGCGAGTGTGCGGCACCCGCATGTGGTGGGCATGGTGGGGTGCTGCCCTGAAGATTTTTCACTGGTGTATGAGCTCATGGAAGGGGGGTCGCTTTGGGACCGATTGCACCCACAGCTGCAGCAGAAACATCAGCAGAAAAAGCAGGGAAAAAACCAGGAGCCGGAACAGCAGCAGCAAGAGCGAAAACAAGGGGGAATTAGCACTCCGCCTCCGTCTCCCCTCCCACCTCCCCTCCCGTGGCACCATCGCCTACGCATCGCCTCTGAAATTGCCTCTGCTCTCCTCTTTCTGCACTCCCACAGCCCCCCTATCCTCCACTCCGACCTCAAACCCCAAAACGTCCTTCTTGACGGCCATGGCGCCAGCAAACTGGCTGATACAGGCCTGGCAGGGCTGAGTTTCTTTGGCTTGTTCCCGCAGAATCAGCTCGAGGTGACTTTTAAGGTGCGGGGGACGTTTGGGTTTTTTGATCCAGATGTGGTGGTTACCACCGGGGAGGTTACGGCGGCGAGTGATGTGTATGCGCTGGGAGTGGTGGTGCTGCTGCTGCTCACTGGAATGGAGGATGTGAAGGAGGTGCATCGGCTGTTGGGGCAAGTTTCAAGCACAAACGCAAGTGCAAGCACGAGCGCACGTCCTTCTTGCAACCTAGATATTGCCATCACTTTTTTTGCCGAGCGCCTCGACAAGCGGGCGGGCAGCTGGCCGAGAGATTTAGCTGCCCGGGCTCTGCGCGTGGCTCTACAGTGCGTGGAGCGGCGCGGCGTTGATCGGCCGGACCTGCGGGCAGTGGTGCACCCGACCCTGGCTGCCATTGCTGAGGAGGCGCGGGAGGTGCAGACTCGGGAGGAGGTGAAACAGGACCATGAGGTCAAGGCTTTGGAGGGGGTGAAGCAGGGGCGAGAGGGGCAGGCAGGGCAGGAGTTGCAGCTGGAAAGCCGCTTCATCTGCCCTCTCTCCCATGTGAGTTGCGAGTCTGTAGGGTGCAGCCTTCTGGGCTTGCTTGTGTCCAACATCTGCCACCCAGCCCCTCTCTCCTTCCGCTTTCCTCCTCCATCTCTCTTTTCTCATCTCATCCCTGTGTCCAGGTGCCCTTTTGAGGCACCTCAAAACTCGCCTTTTGAGGCGCCTATAAAACCGTATCAGTCCACGCAGGTTTTTTTTGGCGCCTCAAAAACCCTCTCTCTTCTCTCTTCTCATCCCTGTGTCCAAGTGTGTTTTGAGTCGACTCACAATACGCCTCCCTTTCCATCCCATAAGCCGTTCTTGAAAAACATCAAAAGCATTCCAACGCACTGCATTGCCCCAGAGGATTCTCAAAGAGCATTCCTTCACCCATCCCGGTAGCCCCGTTCTAATCCAACACCCTGCATTCAACACCAACAGCAGCAGAGGCTGCAGGCAGGACCACTGGTGGGTGGTTGGCATTGGCAGCAGACGTGGTGATGTGCTAGAAGGAGAGGCAATGGAGTCAGCTTATGTATCCCTCTCCTGTCCCTCGACGGTGCACCAACAACAACGGCTGCACGATCCCGTGGTGGCAGCAGACGGGGCGACACACGAGAGGGATAGCTTACAGCACATGCCTTTGGTCCAGACCCTTGTGCACACATTCACACCCCCTCATCCCCACCCTCCTTTCTCTTTGTTATGTATCTCCCCTACTTTTCCTCCCCCCCACCCCCTTGCTTGCACCAACAGCAACGGCTGCACGATCCAGTGGTGGCAGCAGACGGAGTGACTTATGAGAGACAGGCGATAGAGGCATGGCTCGCAGCACATGCCATTTCCCTCAACCCTTGTGCACATATCCAATGACTCTTTCCCTACATCTCCCCCCCCCGCCCCGTGCACCAACAGCAACGGCTGCAGGATCCTGTGGTGGCAGCAGATGGGGTGACGTACGAGAGGGAGGCGATAGAGGCGTGGCTCGCAGCACATGACACCTCCCCCACAACCCACCTCCCCCTCCCACACAAGCACCTCACCCCCAATCTCATACTGCTAGACCTTCTGTCCACCCTGGGTCTTCTGAATGGGTCGTAGGGGGTTATGGGACGGAAGGTGGCAGGGTGGGAGGTGGGCGGGAGGAGAAGAGGCAAGGGGAAGAGTGGGGGGGTTGACGAAGGGGGTGCAAGGCTGGAACGGGAGAGGGAATGTTGCTGGAGGAGGGGGTAAGTGGTGGGAAAGAAGGAGGTGAAAGGCGTCTGGGGAGGGCAGGACGAGTTTCGTGGGGTTAGTTTGTCATTCTTACTTGCTCTTATGACCGACTAGGCACACTGGGCCTAGTAATGTGAATAGCTAGTTCACAGGCACGTGTATTTATGAAAGACCCTGGACTGCATATGCGAGGTGGGAGGGACAGATAATGTGCGTGTAGTATAGGACCAGGTGATTCACTTACGACCTGAGTGTTGCAGCCAGTTTATACTAGCAATTGGGTTGAGGGGCAGTAGATAACCATCTAGTGGGTGAAAGTTCGCTATCGTCATCTGTTTTGAGGTACAGTGATTTATTTATATAATATTCGCTGACCGTCGTCCAAGCAAACGAAGCGCGCAGGGTGACCGACAAGTGGGAAGTCGAACAAAGAGGCCCAATGCCCATGATGCCATCCTTCCAGCCTGATGCCACAGGTTGCGCGCTTCGCTTCGCTTGTGTTTGTGTGGGGCGCAAAGGGGCGGGGCGGAGCGGGGTACGGTGATACTCCTCGCAGCTTCGATGGAAGTTGGGCGTCTCGTTTCGTTTTGTCAGCTTGCAACGGAAGTCCATCGGACAGCAAGAATCCCGTTCGAGGAGCTCGAGGTGGTGCTGCCCGGAGCATTTACAACCAATCGCGTTGGTGTAACTCCCACCTTTTCCCCAACCACCCCACACCCCCAACACCAGCCTGCCTCCTCTCTCCAGCCCAACCATCTTTGCCACGCTGAGCCATACTGTATCCCACTAAAACATCCAAAACCTTGCACAACCGATTTTACGAAGGTATTGCAAGCCGCCGTAATTCACTAAGCAGCACCACCCAGTCTTCACAAGTGTACTGACTGGTCGTATCCTCTTCCTCGCGCTTACTCGGGCAGTTTGGTTGGACGAGACCCGACCAGATGCAAGGCAGTCCCCTAGCACAGGAGGTGCCCCCAGCAATGCACTTTGTTTGGTCGATGGCTCCCCGTCTTCCACAGCTGTATGGTGGTTGTTGCTGACTGCACCTTAGGTAGCTTCGCTGCTCATTATGATAATTAATGGCCAGCAAATCCCGGACGCACACGCAGGGTGCGGCCACGATGGAACATTTCAGCGTGATTGCTTTGGATTTAGTCGACTACTAGCAGCTATTTGAGTCATTTTCTCTGATCCTCCTCAGTGAATCTGGCCTTTCTTCCTTCTGTCCCGCTTCTAGAAGACGTTTCTCATCGTGCTCGTATCGTGCTCGTTCGAAACAATTGACACGGTGGAATTGTCGTTTGACATTTTTTTTTCTCTCCATGTTAGCGGCGTTAAGTCGCAATCGACCCAGTTTCGACATGGTACACGGCGATCAGCGTCGCACAGACGACGACGGCGACGACGCTGCGACGCCGCTGTGGCTGCTGGAGGTGTCGCCGGACCACGAGAGCAGTCGCAGCACGCTTAGCGTCGCCCTAGCTGACGTGGACAGATTCCAGCGAGCCAATGACGGCGAGACACCTGTCATCGTGCTCGTCTCCGTCGTTATCGAGTCAGGATCCAAACGTGAGCGACCAGGACTTTCTCGGGCAAACTATAGGCTTTCTCACACCCTCACGCCATACTCACAGTCGCTGTGCTGTGCGTGCTTCCGTCGTTCGTACGAAACGGATCCTTCGCTGTCCGCGCGAAGTCATGCGACCGATGCGATTCCACCCATGCGATGACAAAGACTTATGGCGCATAGTGTTTTTTTCGTTCTGAACTTTCAGAGGACTGAAAACTCCAGCGGTTGTTTGTTTTTTTTTTTTTTTGGCATCGCCTCCTCCAGCTCGGCGCGCTACCCATTCCCTTTGCCAGATCTTTCCTTCACTCGCCTCTCTTTCCCCCTTCCGCGATGCTCTCCCTTCCGCCATCCCTTACCGTTCCGCCATGCCCCTTCTTTCCTCCGACAGCCGCGACACCGCGCAAGGAGCGGGCGCGGCATGGCGCCACGGAGGACCTGATTCTGCGCAGCGTCGTGCGGCCGATGCAGGCCATCGCGGAGAACAGAAAGGTGAGCGCGCGTGTGAGTTGGGGAAAGGGTGGGTGGAGAGGGGGGGGGAGTGTGCGCGGGGGGGACAGGGAAAGGGGAGAGGAAGGGGGGCGAAGTGGAGGGGGGAGGAAGGGGGAATCCGCTGATAGCAGAGAACAGGAAGGTGAGCGCGGAAATTATTCTGAAGGAGGGGGACGACTGGTAAGGAGAAGCGACGGAGGTCTGGCGGCAATGGCAAGACAGCAATTAAGGCGAGTCGAAACGCTTGAGCGTGGGGTAATAGCTATGACCGCGTGGGGAATGCGTGACACAACCTGTTGGACCTTGGTGCTCGAATTCCCACGCTGTCCTTTCCTTGCTGCTGGCGCGATAGTGCGTTCGTTCGTGGTGGTTGTAAAAGCCAACTTATGAAGATTTTATACGAAGCCTCATGTCAGGAAACTCTAGAGGCTTTCGCTTATCTGATGCAGCTGATAAGAGGAATATAGGCCACGGAACTTTTGATACCGCTGATAAGCGGCGAGGCAAAATCGAGATTCAGTGATTCACTGATGGAGGTGCCGCGCTAACGGAACTGGTTCGAAACGATCCGAGGAAAGGCGGGAATCGAAATTCCCAAGGCCGGTCAGTCACGTATCGTGCGTTGAGAGAGCGCGCGAAAACGAACTCCCAGAAGCCGGTGCGTGGCGGTACCCAGTGGTTTCGGAGCAGCTGAAAGACCGGCCGATTTCAAAAATCCTATTGAGAAACATAAATAATCAGCTAATTGCAATAGCCTTATGCGGATTCTGGAAAACACGCATATCAATTCCAGAACCGTTGTGGTGAATAACAAACAACAAGAACGTTTTGATAATTCTTTAAAACAATTGACCTCAATTTCGTTGTACCTCCTCCCTTCCCCCCCTTCCACTCTCACCCTCTTTCCTCCCTCGTTTTTCTCTACAGTGAGTGCAGGCGACCCTTACAGTCGACTCTAACGCCTCCCTCCGCCCTCCTCCCTCGTCCCTCCCTCACCAGGTGGCAGCAGAGGCACACATGGAGCGCATGTGCAGTGCAGTGAGAGCAAGCGATTCTTGAGTACACTCAGACACACCTCACCCCCACCTCACCCCCCTCTCTCCCCCTTCTCCCCCTCACCAGGTGGCAGCAGAGGCACACATGGAGCGCAGTGAGAGCAGGGAAGCGGGCCTGTGTGCGGCTGTGGTGCACCTGCAGGCACAGCGGCTGTACATCGGTGTCAAGAGGTGAGGGGCGGAGGGTGTGAGGAGGAGGTGAGGGGTCGACGAGGTGAAGGGCAACAGGTATTCAGGCCCCTGGAGGATGGTTCTGTGCGCGGCTGTGGTGCATCTGTGGGCACAGCGGCTGTACATCGGCGTGTGAGGAGGTGAGGAGGTGAGGAGCAACTTGTTTTCAGGCGTGTGAGAGGGGTCCGTGTCCCCCTTCTCTTGCCATTCCTCCCCTCGTCTTGAATGGCCGTTACACTTCATGAGAAGCAAGTACGGAACAAGTAACCCTCTCTCTCCCTCCCCTACTCCCCTCCCCCGCTCCCTTCCACCCTCTCCCTCCCCTACTCCCCCACTCCCTCCCCTACTCCCCCTCTCCCTTCCAACCTCTACCTCTCCCCTCCCTTGCTCCCTGATTTCTACGACTCGCCTCTCCTTCCAGGAAGCTTCTGTGGGGCGGCGATTCATCGGTGGTGCACTACTGTGAGGCCCATCTGCCTCAGGGCTGCCTGCTCGTGCTCACACAGGGCGGTAAACGAGTCAAGGAGCTTATAGCGGGTACAACAAGTCACCACGCCAGCCAGGGTAGCGCTGCTACTGCCAGAGGTGGCGGTGGCAGTGCTGCTGGTAATGCTGCTGGTGGTGCTGGCGGTGGCGGTGGTGGGCGTAGGAGGTCTCAGGATTCGCCCCAACACGCACTGCAGCAGCAGCAGCAGCGGCAGAGCCAAAATTTTCACCAGCAGCAGCACCATGAGCAGCAGCAGCAGCAGAACGGAAGTTATTACCAGGACTATGAGCAGCAGTTGCAAGACGAGCATTCGCCAGAGGAAGAGGAGGAAGAGGAGCAATCGGAGCTGAAGCGGAGCATCAGTGCGGGGAACGAGCTGAGGAACCGAAGGTATAGACCCGGCATGTACAGCAGCAGTGGCACCAGTGGCGGCGGCAGTGGTGGGAGGAGCGCGGAGAGAAGCCCAGCAGAAGGAGCAAGGGGAGGAGGAGGAGGAGGTGGAGGGGGTGGTGGGGTGGTAGGTCTTGTGCGAGCGGGTAGCTATGGGCGGCATATAAGGAGTAGGAGCATAGGAGGCATGTTTCCCGTCAGCGGCAGCACTGGCAGCCCAGGGAATGGCAGTGGTGGTGCTGGTGCTGCTGGTGCTGGTGGTAGTGGTGGGAGTGGCAGTGGTGGTGGTGGTGGCAGTGGGGGTATGAGGCGTGTATTCCAGAGGAGAACACGCAAGCAGAGCAGCAGCTTTTCTGAGTCTGAAGATGAAACCCCACTCGTCCGAACCAGCACCGGAGGCTCGGAGACGCACCGCACACCGTACCACCTCAACATCCTAGGTCCGGCAAAGCGGGCAGCTTCGGTGTCAGGCTCGGCAACCGGACCAGCCGAAGATCCAGATGACCCGATCCATGCCAGGGGCGCCAAGCCTCCTCCCAGGCCTCCCCGAGGCTCGGGACGAGGTTCGGAAATGGAGGACGGGGAGTATGACGGGGAGGATGGGGAGCAGACCCCTCCCAGGCCTGTCTTGCGCTCCCGAACCTCCCCTTCCGGACGGTCCTGGGGGGCAGGCGAGATGGATGGAGCGACAGCAGCAGCAACAGGTGCAGCGGCAGCAGGCAGACACCCCAACTTTGGTGGCAGCGGTGGCAGCTACAGCAGCGGTATGCCTTCACCCTCAGCTGTCTCGTCTGGGCGGGTTATGTCTCGCACGCTCAGCCGGGAACGCAGGCAGCACCAGGCAGCAGCGGGAGCAGCAGCAGGGGGAGGATCGGGAGGAGGAGCAGGGCTAGGTTCGTCTAGCAGTGCTGCTGCCGCCATCTCTACCACGTCTGCTACCACTCTCCCTCCCGCCTCCCTCCCCTTTCACTTCTCTCCCAAGCTTCTCATCCCCTCGCCCTTCGTGTCCGGTTCCGGTGCGCTTATTACGGAGGGTGATAATAACAATGGTGATTATAACGAAGAGCCCAGGCCTGGCACTCCTAGGGGAGAGACGGAAAAAGAGGCTCGGTTGCTCGGGGCGTCTAGGTTCGGCCCGAGCCAGGGGATGGAGGTTCGGCAGGGGGAGAGGGGCCGGCACAGCAGGGGAATGTCTTGGGCTGGTCCTGACGTAATGGGGGGAGGGGGAGGGAGTGGGGGGTTCAGACTGTCACCTGCTGAGGGGGATGGTGGGGGGGTGGGTGCATGTGATGGTGCGGGTGGGGCTGACGGTGGTGGGGGTTATAATGGTGGGCAGTGGCGTTACACCTCCCATCTCGCTTCCCCTACTTCTGCCGGCCTCCCTCCCATCCCCTCGCCCTCCTCCTCCTCCTCCACCCGCCCCAACATAGAAGAGCAGGTAGTGGCACTGGCAGGGCAGTGGGAGGTCCTGGCACAGATGGGGGGGGCGAGGCAGGGGGGAGAAGGGGCAGGGGGAACAGCAGGGGGAGCAGCAGGGGGAGCAGCTGGGGGAGCAGCAGCTGGGGGAGCAGGTACTGCTGGGGGAGGTGGGACTGTTAGACCGGCTCAGGCGACTGATATGTCATCCCGCCCCCGCCGCACTGTGCCGAAACATTTCCGGGCAGGTAGCTGGGATCCGGGCAGGTCGGGCCTTAGTGAGGACTCGTTTTTAGAAAGTGTGAGAGGAGGGGCGGCAGGGGCAGGGAAAGGGGCAGGCGGAAAAGGGGGAGGGGGAAGCGGAGGGGGAGGAGGAAGCAGGACTCCCCCTTTGCCCCCAGAAGGGGCAGCAGGCGGAGGGAAAGGAGGAGGAAGCTTCCGAAAGGGAATGCTGCGAAGGAAGGGGAGCGGGCAGTGGGGGGAGGGGCTTGGCGGGTGGATCGGGGGAGGGGGAGGGGGAGGAGGGGTGGGAGCGGGGGCAGGGAGAAGAGGCGGAGGCGACGGGAGAGTGGGGGCGGACAGGGTTGATGGGGATGGGGTGAGAGATTATGAGGAAGAGGAAAGCAGCATGGAGGGAGGAGCGCCCTTGCGCCGTGCTCTCTCCTCCACCGCCCCTAGCCTCTCCTCCTACCCCATGGATGCCCATGCAGGAATCGCTTCAGGGTTGCTCGCAGACTTCCCCACCACTGGCTCGCCGGACCTGCCAGGCTCGGCGCCCGTACGTCGCGGTGCTGGTGAGGCTCGGCACAGGCTGCCCAAGATGCCGTCCAGTAATGGCCGGCTCGGCGAAGAGGGCCGGCCGGGCCTGCTGGAGGTTGGGCGGGGAGGAGGGGGGTTGGTTCGGGATTGGATCCAGGGGGAGGGTGCAGCAGCAGGGCAGAGAGGCGAGACGGAGGCAGGGAGAGAGAGAGAGGGTACATGTGGACGAGGGGGAGAAGGGGGAGGAGGGGGAGGAGGGGAAGCGGAAGAGGGGAGTGTGAGTGGGAGCAGCAGCAGGAGTGGGTTGGATATGGATATGCTGATGGGGGAGTTGCAGCAGCTGAGACAAGAGGCCCTCGCGAAGCAAGTAGCGGCCCAAGCTCAGTTCTGCAAGGTGCTGTGCTGTGCTGTGCGGTGCTGTGCTGTGCTGTGCTGTACTGTGCTGTGCTGTACTGCTGTGCTGTGCTGTGCTGTGCTGTGCTGTGCTGTGCTGTGCTGTGCTGTGCTGTGCTGTGCTGTGCTGTGCTGTGCTGTGCTGTGCTGTGCTGTGCTGTGCTGTGCTGATCTGTGCTGTGCTGTGCTGTGCTGTGCTGTGCTGTGCTGTGCTGTGCTGTGCTGTGCTGTGCTGTGCTGTGCTGTGCGGTGCGGTGCGGTGCTGTCTCATGCCATGTCATGGCCATATTGTCTTGAGTGTGCTTTTTCCACTTTCCTTGTTGTCTTCTCTACTTCCAGTTTCATTCGTTTCAACCCCGCACGTTTGTTCCTCTTCCTCCGCCTCTCTCGTTCTTCCCCTCTCCCCACCCTCTCCACAACCCCCATCCCCAACCTTCCCCCGCTTTCCCTCCTCTCTCGTTTCCCCATTCACGTCACCACCAGGACGAGCAGCCCAGCAACCCTCACTCCGGAAGCTCTGAACTCTATCGTTGAGGCGCCGAACATCCCACATCCTCCATAATACTCTCCTCACAATTCTCTCCTCACAATTCTCTCCTCACGATTCTCTCCTCACGATTCTCTCCTCACGATTCTCTCCTCACGATTCTCTCCTCACGATTCTCTCCTCACGATTCTCTCCTCTCCCTTTGCCCCACATCCTCCACACCACCAGGACGAGCAGCCCAGCAACCCTCACTCCGGAAGCTCCGATCTCTATCCCGGCAGCAGCAGCGGCGGCGGCGGCGGCCCTACCTCCGGCCAGCACAGCCGGAGCAACAGCCGCAACGTTACAGGCTCGGGCAGCCAAAACAACCCGAGCAGCAGCAGCAACGGCAGCGGCAGCGGTGGTGGCAGCGGGTTTTATGCGGGAAGCAACATGCTGCGAGATGCACTGGCTGCAGAAGGGGACCTCACCGACCTGGGTGATTTGGGTGGCCTCCGTGGTCCCTCTGTTGTGCGATCCAGCCGAGGGGGTGGGGGTGCAGGGCGAGGGTATGATGCAGAGGTTTGGGAGGATGGGGAGGATGAAGAGGAGGGGGAGGATGGAGGAGAGAGGGGCAGCGGCGGGCAGGCTGCTGGGTCTACCGCTACTGTGGGCAACCATGTAAGACGAAATTAGATGCTTGCCTTCCTCCCCTCCCTTTCTCCCCTCCCTTTCTCCCCTCCCTTCCCTTCCCCTCCTCTCCCCTCCTCCCCTCCTCGCATCGCCTACTCCAGCCCATTGCGAGCAGCTGCCCGTAGTGACGATGCGAGCAGGCTGCTCCTCCACCTCCTCCTTTGACTCCACCGAGTTAGTGCGCAAGGTCACGGAGCGCGCCCGCCGTAAGGGCCTTCCCCTCCCCGTCCAACCTCACCTCCCTTCCAACCCCGTCCTCTCCCACAGCCTGTTGCAGATGACAATGGCGACGCAGGCAGCGCCTCCTCCACCTCCTCCTTTGACTCCACTGAGTTTGTGCGCAAGGTCACGGAGCGCGCCCGTCTTGCTGCCTCTGCATCTGCCAACGCTGCCACTGCTGCTGCCGCTGGTGCTTGCAGCGCAGTAGACGGGGTGAGTAGGGGATTGAAGGGTGAGGTTGTGGGCATGGGCTGGGGCTGGGGTCATGGGCATGGGCATGGGCATGGGCATGGGCATGGGCATGGGCATGGGCATGGGCATGTGCATGGGCATGGGCATGGGCATGGGCATGTGCATGGGCATGGGCATGGGCATGTGCATGGGCATGGGCATGTGCATGGGCATGTGCATGGGCATGGGCATGGGCATGTGCATGGGCATGGGCATGGCATGGAAATGACTGTTACTAACGTTCCTGCCACCATCTTCAAATGTTGGATGCATCAATTCTTACAAGATTTCTAACCAGCTGATAGCTCGTGGCGTTTTCTATCGCCCTCTTTCATGTTTCCTGTTTCCCCATCCTATCCCTTCCTTCTTTCCCCTCCTCCCTCATCCATCCCCCACCCACCCTCCTCCCATCCCATCACCCCTCCAGCACCACACCCCCACAGACCTCTCCCCCAACATCACCTCCTCCTCCTCCCTCCATCCCCCTCCCAGCCACCACTCCTCCTCCCTCCACGCGCCTTCTCTCTCCGACTCTCTCGACCCCTCCTCCCACGCCTCCTCCTCCGCAGATTGTCGCCGCTTCTCCCTCCCCCAACTCCTCGAATGCACCGACGGCTTTTCCGACGGCAACCTTCTGGGAAGGGGCGCGTACGGGCCGGTATTCCGCGGCCAGCTGTTCGGGTGCCTAGTAGCGATAAAAAAGCTGGAACAAGGCAGCGATCAAGGTCCGGCGGAGTTCCGAACCGAAGTGGAGGTTCTGAGCAAGGTTCGGCACCCACACATTGTGCTCTTAATGGGTCACTGCCCGGAAGAAGCTTGTATCGTGTACGAATTCCTCCAGGGGGGGAATCTACAGGAGCGGATCGTCCGGGCGGGGGACAACCCTCCGCCGCCCCTACCCTGGCACGATCGAATCAGAATCATATCGGAGATCTCCGGCGCGCTGCTCTACATGCACCGGCACGACCCGCCGATTCTCCACCGAGACTTAAAGCCCGACAACATTCTCCTAGACGCCAACTCCATCTCGAAAATCGCCGACGTGGGCCTCGCTCGGCTGATCCCCAACGAGGTCTCGGCAGTTACCTGGAAGGTGCGGGGCACGGCCGGGTACATAGACCCAGAGGAGCTTCAGACCGGGGAGCTGTCGGTGAAATCGGATATCTACGCGTTTGGTCTGATAGCGCTGCAGCTGCTCACGGGTTTAAAGAATGTGAAGCTGGTGCACGGGTTGCTGGCGGCGTGCGGCACGGGCGCGAGAAACACGGAGGAGGCGACAGATTTGATTGTGAGGAGCTTGGATCGGTCGGCCGGGAAGTGGCCGGAGAGGCTTGTGAGGCGGGCGACGAGGGTGCTGGTGCGGTGCATTGAGAGGCGGAGGGTGAATAGGCCGGATCTGGGAGGGGAGATTCATCCGCTGCTGGGGGAGATTGCAGAGGAGGCGATGGAGGAGAAGAATCGGCGGGCCAAGGAGCTCGACGGGCGGTTTGTCTGCCCGCTGTCGCATGTAGGTGTTTGTTTCCTTGCTAGCTCTCTCTTTCACGCTCTCTCTCACATGCACAGACGCACCCTCTGTCTCACCCGCTGCTGGGGGAGATTGCGGAGGAGGCGATGGAGGAGAAGAACGGGCGGGCCAAGGAGCTTGACGGGCGGTTTGTGTGCCCTCTGTCACATGTAAGTATTGGTTTTCTTGCTAGCTCCCTCTTTCATGCTCTCTCACATGCACAGATGCGGGATCCAGTGGTGGCAGCAGATGGGCACACGTACTGGCGCAAGTTCATGTGAATATAGTTGTTTTTCTTCCTTCCAAAGATGAGACATGGTTCACCAGCCATGGGGTCTCGGCCATCACCGGGCAGCAGCTCCTGGCAGCACATGTGAATATACTTGTTTTTATTCCTTCCGTGACTATTGCAGGAGCGCATGCGGGATCCAGTGGTGGCAGCAGACGGGCACACGTACGAGAGAGAGTACATCGAGACTTGGCTCGCCAGCAGCGGGGTCTCGCCTGTCACCGGACAGCCACTGCCCCACCGCGCCCTCACTCCCAACTTCATCCTCGCCTCGCTCATGGACTCCATGTGATGCGATGCATGTGGTGGCATGTGGTGGCATGTCGTGTGACGTGATGACATGGCATGTGGTGGCATGTCGTGTGACGTGATGACATGTGATGACATGACACATGTGCCAGACTAAGCGTTTCCAGATCAAGGTTGTGATGTGAACGCGTGGACCCAGAAGAACAACTAAGGCCCTGTGTTGTGTGCCACCTCAGGCAGGGTCTGCGGGCCATAACTACCATACAAGTTACAAGTTGTAACTTACAACACTGCATGACGGTGCACTGTGCTTCTGTAGCTAGTACATCCTGATGTAACATAGTTAATGGATTGTTGGTAATACTGTAATTTGTGGTGTTTTGGATTTTGCTTTTGTTTCGGTGAAATCCGTACTTGGCAACACCGTCATACCATGATCCACCCAGAATGAGCGAGATTGTACATTGTCACTTGTACGGTATTAACTTCCACCACTGCTTGATGCAACTCCCTGCACACAAGATGAAAAAATATGAAATAAAATTCAAAATTTAAAGATTATGACAATACACGTAAAGGAGAATGCAGTAAGGAGTCTATCGCTCCTTATATTGTGGCAGGTTTACGGACCTGCCACCTAGTCAAAAAATCATTTCTAGATCTAGTTTAGAACAGCACACCTACCTAAACCTTGCACCCTTTACTACTACTCATCCGCCATTGCTACTAAGATTATCCTGACCCTCGTTTCACTCCACATGACGAGATCGTCACTTCTTGAGGTTGATGCGGTGGCGAGTTTACAGTACTTGTGCAGGGCAAATCGCGAATTACGTTAGTAGTGAGACGCTGGTGCGAATGGCGAGATTTCGGCATGCTATTGCTGTCTGCGCCTTGGGGCTGCTGCTGATGTTACGAGACCCTGCTATTGCTGATGCTATGCAACCGCTGCTTCTCACGCACTGTCATTAGTGTTGACGTGCGGCCTGCCGTTCCTCCCACGCGATCTGGTGCTGCCGCTACGAGATCTGGTCCTGTCGCTGCGCGATCTGAGGTCGGTGCTCGCGATCTTCTCCTGTTACGAAATCTGCTGCCGGTGCTCGCGATCTTCTCCTGTTACGAAATCTGCTGCCGGTGCTCGCGACCTGCTGCTTTGCTCACGATTTGCTGCTGCAGCCTCGAGATTTGCTGCTGGTGCTCACGATTTGCTGCTGCAGCTTCGAGATTTGCTGCTGGTGCTCACGATTTGCTGCTGCAGCTTCGAGATTTGCTGCTGGTGCTCATGATTGCTGCTGGCGCTCGCGAATCGCTGTTTGCGCGCGAGATTTCCTGCTGACGCGGAGATATGCTGCTGGAGGTTTGCTGCTGGAGCCCGAGATTTGCTCCTAGCGCGCGAATTTCTGCTGCTGGAACGCTAGATTCTGCTACTGGCGTGCGAGATTTGCTGCTGGCGCGGAGATCTGCTGCTGGCGCGGAGGTTTGCTGCTGGCGCTCGAGATTTGCTCCAGGCGCGCGAGATTCTGCTGCTGACGCGCTAGATTTTGCTGCTGGCGCGCGAGATCTGCTGGTGTAGCTGCGCGATCTGCTCCTGCTGCGAGATCAGCTGCTTTCCCTCGAGATTTGCCGTGGTGCTCGAAATCCGCTGCTGCTGCTGCGATATCTGCTGGTGGTGCAGCGCGATCTGCTGCTACTGTCGTGCGATCTGCTGCGGGTACTATCTAGATCGCCACTAGTGGTGCTGCAGTGGCTGGTGGGGACAGCAGTGAAATTTCGAGCTGCTTCTGCTGCCGGTGCTGCACTAAGCACAATATCGCTATTGGTGACAAGACAGAAATTGTGGTGACACGAGGCCGATTAAGATCATGATATTTTTCCATTTCTGGCCGATTAAAGCGGCAGTATACATTTGGCAGGGCCGTTGGAGGGTTTAGGGTTCCCAAAACGATTTCGCCCCAGCAGAAGTACCATTTATAAACTTTTGGCTCAGGCCCTGAGATGGCCGTATTAAGGCCACGGGCCTATGAAGATTATGATATCAAAATATTATGGCCTTGAAATTATGACCCTATCCAAGGGAGAGATAAAGAAACTGGCATGATTGTCGAATATAATGTTACAAGAGGTTATGCAACGCATACGATTCTATGCATAAATCAATGTTCATTGGAAATAAAAGCTTGGTATTTTGGCCATTTGCTAGGGCTACGTTTTGTGATACGCCCCTTCCCCTTCATAGGGTGCTGAGCTGAGCATTTTATCAAGCTTTAAATTATCCACACAAATGTTGAGATACGGTATATTTCTGTTTGAAATGAAGTTTCCGCATGTGCTCCTTGACAAACGTGCACTGCACGAAAAAGTTGTCAATAATTGCCGCTCGTATTTGCGTTTACGCTCATTCGGCGAGATTCACTTGACTGAAAAAAAAAAAAAAAAAAAAAAAAAAAAAAAAAAAAAAAAAAAAAAAAAAAAAAAAAAAAAAAAAAAAAAAAACACGGTCGGCCGATAGAGCCCTGTCCAGCTCTAATTTGCCCTATATGGCTCCGAGGAACCTATATCAACCACCGTAGAGGTTCTCCCCAGGCCTCTGGTGGATGTCCTTCTGGGACATATGAGTATCGCGTGTTTACGTGCTCCTTTTCCAGGATGCTGGCTAGCTCAGCCATATTTCTAGATAGATCTATGAAAGTGCTTTGCACATTGATTACGATCAACATATAACCTTGACCTCTATGGCTTTGCCACTATTGTACTTTGATAGTTATGTGTTTTGCACTGATGTGGCTAAAACATCATGGTTGTACCAATCATTTGGCACTACGCAGTTTTTTTGTCGCGATTCTAAGTGCGTAATCAAGTTCTAAGTTGTTGGTCGAGTGAGTGAGACCAAGTGTTCAGAAAAATGAAGTTCTTCCCTAGCTATGTTGCAGTCGTGCACAGCTTGGCCAACATACTTGTTGTGGTCAATTACTTCTGTTCCTACCCTATTTTAACAATTGCAAATGCGGTAACGGCAGTCACGGAAATGTGGGACACGTTTAATTCACCATTACTATATTGTCAATCATACAACGACGCTTCTACGTTGAGATTGCTGATGTTTGGCAACCTATAACTGTGCAAAAGGTTGCATTTCGGCACATTCTTATAGTAGGCACGGGCCTAGCGGCGGAATCGTCACAAAGGTTCTTGTTGTCATATTGGGCTCTCGAGCAGCATGCGTGGATACATGCTCAATGGTACGACCCCATATCTACATTCCGTTAAGGAGACAAGTCGCCAATTTGGATATTTGAAACCGGAATGGTAATTGATCATCCTCCGATCAGATGTTTAACATCCGCTCAAATCAAGTTGCGTACCTAAACGGAGAGTGTCACTGCGGCACTTGGTGTGCGAGATCACGATGAGTCCATTTTTCAACGTCTTACAAACCAGGTTGTCACATGTATGTCAGAGGTCCACTGGAGATCCCCGATTGATCCTAGGGAAGGGTTACAGGCACGTTGGCCTAGGGGGTTATGGACGCACTGACCCGCTACTTATCAAGCCCTTTTATCCCAATGGTCTAGTGGTTGGGATTCTGACAATGTAAGCCGCCACATGGACGCTGTTAACAGCCGCTCCTTGAGCACACTGCCATGGAAACAACGTGGTGAATCATGCGCGTAATATCACATGTTCATAGTACATCATCTATTGTCACTGTATGCAACGAAACAGGTCCCGCCTTATATTCATGGTTGGGGGAAAGGGGATGCGTATTACGCCCATGCAAATGTATGATGCCCCATTATGAAGCATTATTGCTATCTAAGGTTGAGATGCCTATATGTCATGCGTAATCACCTGCATAGCATGCTACCCATTCGATATTGATAATTGGAGTGCGACAATGGCACGATCTCATCTTCAGGGTTCCTCAATCTCCTCACCCTTTGTGAGCAGAGTTACTTTACTCACTTGGGTGCTAACATCAATAGTGCACTCGAACGACCACTCCTATCTTGCAAAAGCCATGTACATGCTTGCCACAGGCTTGAAATCACATTCCTATCTCATCGTGCTATTGCACACTGTTGGCATACTGTCAGTCTCGCCCACATGGTTACATGCTGTATACTTGCGTATCAATGGCCAACAACTTCGAAAGTGGAAAAAGAGGTTCGAGATTCTCTGGCGGGATGGATGCCCCCCTCAATGCTGCTGACTCCACACCATAATTCTTGGCACAGTATATGAAAACGTGCTAAGCTCTTACTAGTGCCTCATACTTCGTCACCCCGTCGTTTTTATCTTCGGAACATCTCTACCTTCCGTTAAGAAGCGTACGGCATCCTTCATAGGAAATCATTCCCGTACCTAATGTCTCGTGTTACCTATGACGACTGCTCTGCATACTCTTTGAAGAGTATTGTCTTAATATGAAAAATTATGAAATAAATTTCAAAATTTAAAGATTATGACAATACACGTAAAGGAGAATGCAGTAAGGAGTCTATCGCTCCTTATATTGTGGCAGGTTTACGGACCTGCCACCTAGTCAAAAAATCATTTCTAGATCTAGTTTAGAACCCACCCCCCCCTCCCATATAGATTTATATTCATTGATACATAGTTGTGGATACCTACAATTTCTCTGTTATTTTACTTTGTAATATGCAATCTAGTGTGCTGTACGATAAGATCTGAAATGCTATGACGACTATGACGACTGCTCTGCATACTCTTTGAAGAGTATTGTCTTAATTAGCCTGAAACAATGCCCTTCCCATCCCATGGGTCCCTGAATACCGTGGGTTGAACAAAGAAGCAATCCGTCTCCCTCCCCTCTCCGTCCTCCCCCACCCGGCATCTCCCCACCCCACCACACCACCACACCACCACACCACCACCACCTCCCTCTCACAAAAGAAACCGGGAATCATGAAGAGAGACAAAGAATACGGGACAACGGGTGACAAAACAGAGGTGTGAACATAAAGAGAAGCTGGAGAACAGACGCTAACACAGGGGGCGAACAGGAGAGAACACAATGAGGAGCGGGAGAAGAGACACTAACACAGGAGGCGAACAGGAGGGAACACAATGAGGAGCGGGAGAAGTGGAGTGATGAAACCGCCCAAGTGCGGAGAGCAAGCAGCAGGGAGCAAGGTTGTGGGTATCGTCTGTAACACGAGAAACAAGAGATGAAGGTGACCGGCGGTTCGAGTAGTAGATCGTCCCTTAACCGTTGGATCAAAAGGCGGGTGAGTACAGGAGCCTGAGAGAACACTTGGACGCGCGTAGGTCGATACCACACAAGCTGCAAGTAAAGTTGCTAGTACAACATGATAAGAACAAAGCAGCACTTCCCATCAATATAGGAGGCTGTCATATCGTACGCGACATAAGATCCGCACACGAAGGTGCTCAAGGAATGAATATGAAACTACATACGACCCCCAAGTCTTCGCCTGTGCTCGTAAGCTACAGTAAATCCGGCACGGAAGCGCATGTCGTCAATGCCCAGACGGCTTGCTTCCGAGTTTCGACGCCATGCCGTCAACAAAAAGGTAGACGGCAAACGCCGACACGGCAATCCCTAGGCCCGGGAGGCCGTGTCGCAGCTGGTTCTTCAGGAGCGGGTGGTGCCTGTACGCGTCATTGCGCCTGAAGAACTCGCCTGGTCCGCTCATCGTGCTGGCTCGAACAGGCGAATAGAAATAGACAAGATACGTCTTTAGTTGCAAAGCGTAAATCCCTGCCAAAAGTTGTTACTGGAGGAAAAGTGGAGGATACCCTAACAGCTGCGACGACTTGCGACGTGTGCGAACAATGAATGGTATCCAACTGACGAAGCTGTTGCTATCCGCACAATCTCGCGGACATTTTGGGATTGTGGGAAGTAGTTGTGACTTTTACGTAATGTTTCGCATTGCCTGTGTGTGGAGAATTCGCGAAATACGGGAATACGGGCTACCGTACACGTGATTCGAAAACATCAGGGCAGATATTCTCTGTAAAAGCAGTCTCACGGCATGACTGCGTGCTGTTGGATGTTTCTTGGCTCGGAAACCGCACTGTAACCTCGCCCATGACTGTACTAATCTGCTGCTATGCATAAATATTTCCTTATAATAACATATCAGATACAGACTTGACAGCTGCAATAATTTATGCCAGCCATAGCTACAGAGCCTGTACACTCCCTTAGATTGTACAGCACAGTGATTACTATCCAACAGTGAATGACGCCTTGATCCCGTCGCTACAGTCATTGTTGGCTTTGCTGGTGAAGTAGATGGTGTTGCCGTAATCCTTGGGCACAACCTTATAGATATACTCCCCGTAGTTGCGGGTGCGCGCAAGCGTCTTGGCGTTCAAGAACGTGCATGCAGTGTAATCCGCCACGTCAACCTTGTGCACCGAGTGTACCTCTCCCGCCCACTGGAACACTGCAGGCAAGGGGGGCGGGAGGGAGAGAAATTGAAGGGAACGGGAAAGGGAGTTCTGTCTACGAAAAATGTATACATTACAATTGCATTGCACTACTTTGTGCGGAAGTGCCCCAACTGGAACAATGCTGCCAGGGGGTTGGGTGAAGTGGGTGGGAGGTATACAAGGGGCAGAAGAAAGGGAGGTATGTAAGCCATGCACTTCATTGGCGTACAAGTGTAATGCAGATTTGTAAAATATAATGAACGAGGGACAAGCAGGCTTATAATGGGCAGAGTTAAAAGGGTATACTTGGGACATAAAAGAATGTTATATCACTTACCTTTGTGATATACAGGGGCAGAGAGTGAGTTCCTTTACCCATGCACCTCATAGCGTTACACCCACTCTGCACCATCTGTACCGCACCCCAGTCTGCACCGCACCCCACCCGGCACCATCTGTACTGCACCCCAACCTGCACCATCTGTACCCCACCCCACCCTACACCACCCCACTCTGCACCATCTGTGGTGAGCCTCAGCCCTCAGTCCCAAATACTCGACCTAAAAAAACTCGAGGGCCAGAGGTGGCTATGCTGTGCTGTGTAGTGCTTCCAGAGAAGGCCTGGGTGCCAGAGCAGCAGGCCTGGGGTGCAGCAGCAGCAGCAGAGCTGCCAGTTCTTGAACCAGACATGGACGTACCTAGCAGGTCGCCTGGCAGCACTTTGGGCGCCTTCCAGCCCTTCATTCCAAAGTCCCGGCGACTGCCAGCCAGCCACCCTCACACTCGCACATCAGCACTCTCTGTTGCTGCGCTTGGATAATGCGGCGGCAGCAGCAGCAGCACACCCAACGCGGGCACGGACGTACCTAGCAGGTCGCCTGGCAGCACCTTGGGCCCCTTCCAGCCCTTCATTTTAAATCCCCACGGCGACAACCACTGGCCGTTGTTGCCCCCCACCCACAACATTTTCTGCACGCGGGGAGGCAAGGGGGCGGGGGAGAGCCGCACATAAGTCGAGAGAACTCTTAACTCACAGATTGCCCCACGGGGACATCCACCGGCCGTTGTTGCCCCCCACGTACGTACACCACTTTCTGCACGCGGGGCGGGTGGGGAGAGAGGGGGGGGGGGAGGATAGGAGGGAGGGCGGGATGGGGAGGGAAGGAAGGGCGGAGGGGAGGTGAGGCAGAGTTAAAGGGAGGGAGGGAGGGAGGGAGGGAGGGAGGTAGGGAGGGATGATTAAGAGGGAAGACAAGGGGTGTGAAGAAGAAGGGGAGCAGAACGAGAATGTCTCACTTTTGAGATGAAGGGGAAGAGGGGAAGGTGAGGGAGGGGGCCAGAAGGGGGTGGGGAGGAAGCCATACCTGCGCCTCGGCGCCCGCTGAGAAGGAGCGAATGGCGGTGACCGTTGATGGTCGTCGGCGGAGAGCACGCGCGCGGGGCGGACATCGGCGCGCATGCGGCGACGCGACGCCGGAGAATGCGGAAAGGAGGAGGGGGAGGGGGAGGGGGAGGACGTTGAGGAAGGGAGGGGAAGGGGGAAAAGGGGAGAGGTAGGTGGGGGCCCCGGGTTTGAAGGGGTTGGGACGGGGGAGAGAGAGAGTGGTGGTGAGGAGGGAAGAGAGGTAAGGAAGGGGGAGGTGAGGGTGGGGAAGGAGGGGGGGGGGGAGGGAGGGGGGGTGAGGAGTGGTGAAAGGGGGAAGGTCGCGGGTGAGCAAAGGGTAAGATATGGGTGCGAGGGGAACTGAGAAACGTGAGGAAAAGGGACGATGTGGGGAGGGGAGAAGACCCTTGCGAGTACAAGCGACGCGTGTTAGGCATTCACCGTAGTACGGTGTGTGGAGGACTGTGGAGAGAAAGCAGAGCAGGCGCCAGCAATAATAGATGTTGAGTTCGGAAGCGGTAAGGATGAGTTTAAAAGCGCGGTGGGGCGGAGTTTCAAAGCGGTGAAAAAGAGTAAGACGCTGTGGCGCCTCGCAAAGGAGAGCACATCGATAAAAGAACAGCGCGGCCGGTCCGCTTGCACAAATGAGTGGAGGCGCGTACCGACGAGGATAACGAGTGCGGCAAGGAGGAGCCGCAGATGATTGGTTGCGCGGACCATGGTTATGAACGCTGCGATGGTTTTTTACTGGGCCGGAAGGGAACTTGTTCGGGAGGATTGGGAAGTTGTCGGACGGAGCGGAAAATGGTTATAATTGCAGTTCTACTTCGTGGGCGGAACCAGAACTGGGAATGTAGCGGGTTCTGTTGAGAAGAATGGGGCGCAGAATAGATTATGTCCTTGAAGGTAAAATTCACTGGGAGCTAGAGGTTCGAGATAAAAGACTATTGTTTCTTGGGAGCAGGAGGTTGGGTTGTTGAGCTTGGTCGGTGGGCGGTGTGAAGGGATGATGTGGGAGGTTCTCGTTGGACATTGAAGAGGTTAAGGTGGGCAAAGCAGGCGCTGCTGTGCTTCTGTGGGGCTGATTATGTTGAAGAGTTTGTTGCGTCGTCCCTACCGTGCTCATAGACTTCTAAAACTAAATGAACCGCACAAAACACGAGCGTTTACCCACTTGAAGGCAGCTTTGAAGGGGGCATGCACTTTTTGTTGGTGCGAAGCGAAAGGGCAAATGTGAATGAACGAGCTCCAGGAACATTTCGGGCAGACACAGACCACGGTGGTTGGTTGAAACCCAATTTCCCGCTGCCTCTTGAGTGAAAATAAAGCAGGGCTGACTAAAACCATACATTTCGCGCCGCCTATTCGCCCTTCGAGGCGGCAGTGGATGCCCAGAAAATTACAGGTACATTGCCTGCCAGTCTGTTCACGCATCTCCTCCCGAAAGTGTTTTGGGCGGAGTGGAAAGTTCTGCGCCGCCAGAAAAATGTCACATGGGGACAAGACACGTGAGCGTGCTTGTAGTGAGCGCACTAAAATCGACTCCTTACTACACATAACTTGTACAGTCTCCTTTCACTACACCAGCACGAAATTATCAGTAGATTCTTTAGGACGATCACCAATTCTGACTATTTCAATGTAGCTAATTCAGTTTTTTCCTTTCTTGTGCACCTAGCTCCAACGCATACAGCCCTGCGCACTGGGTCTTGACACCATTCATATTACTTCTGTTCATGAAACAGCAGTATGTAGTCAGGTTCTTCACAGCCAGTTACCTTCTGATAGATTGCCATGATGACGTGGTGTGATGTGATGGAATCAATGCACACGTATGTGAACATAACATCTACCTTACATGAATGGCAACTTTAACTCCATTTGCACAATCACTTCCCACGCTGCTCGAGAAGTAAAGGGTCCTGCCCTTGTCATTAGCTTTAACTTTGTACATCCTCACGCCAACAGGGCGGGCAGGCGATATTTGTTTCGTGTTGAAGAAACTGCAGAGGCCATATGTTACCGGGTCTCCAAACTTCTGGACATCATGTGTTTCTCCAAACCATCTGAACACTGCAGGATGATGGGAAGGAGATGGTGGGAAGGAACAGACGTGGGCAGGTGCGGAGAACATGAATACTTTCACAACCTGCGCAGCTGATCTATTACCTTAGCTGTTGTTGAAATACGCTATACAAGCATGAGATTAAAGACGTAATTGCAACTCGTGGGTAGCGTACTTTAGTATCAGCAAAGCGTGATGAATTCGACAGTTCTTACCGAGGAGGTCTCCGGGCTTCACAGCAGGCGGCGACCAGTCGCCCACGCCCAATCCCCAGGGGCTGACTGCTTGGTTGGTCGACAACCCGCCTCCCACCATGACTGGTCGAGACTGAAAGGAATACACGATATAGAAGTGAGGAAACAAGATAAGAGTCAGTGATTCGCGTGCGTGTGGGTGGTCAAATGCATATTAGGGAGTATGTCAAAACACGGCGGTTTGAAGAGTGAGTGCTGGACAGTCGTGATCGAGACACAGGGAGGTGAAACCGAAGGGGACATAAAACAAGGGCACCGAATCAAAGCAGCAACGAAACCAGAACGCTTTGACGGAACGATTCTCGAATTACTCCGATGACTTATTCACGCCTTCTGGCCTGGCTGCGGCGGTTTGAGCACCGAGTACCTGACGTGGTTACCGGGACGGCCAGAACGCCAGCTATCGAGTCCACTGCAGAAATTCAAGTCTCACCTGTGCGGGAACCGCGCCTTCACGCAGGCAGGGGCGGTGTCGAGAACGAGGAGAGCGGGGATGGGAAGAGGGGGCAGTGGGGTTGCGGACGTGGGAACAGGGGGGAGGTGGGGTGGAGAAGGAAACGTTGAGTCGTGACCTGCGTTAAAATGTCTCCAATTTGCTTTCTCAAGCTGATTTCGTCAGTCACAGGTACGACCTGCACCAGTTACGCGACGGCAGGCAGCCATAGACACTTCGAAAATCGCGACGTTGAGCAGCACATTAAAGGAGTCTTCTGACCGCTGGAAATCTGAACACTCTGCGAACTGGTACCAGTACGGAGAAACTCAGTGCGAAAGGAACTACTTGCACCGAACCACTTCTCGGAAGCGTAATAATGACGCATGTTTGGAACTCACTTGCACACACGATGGCGAGAAACAGCGCAGCGAGAGATGCGCGGCTCCTGAGACTCGTCGATCTCATGGTGCTGGCCGTTGGCACTACGCAGAGCCTCAGGATTGGGAGATACTAAAAAAAAACAACGGAGTGACTCAAGGGGTTTAGCGGCGTGACCCGGGGAATTCAGCGGTGTAACCCGGTACTATGGATTCAGTCCGGTGTATGCTTTAGAGAATTGCGGACTGCTCAGACTAGTCGATGCGAAGTCGATTACTGCCGACGTCGAGCTTAAGGGCGCCTCAAAACGCGAGGACGCGAAAGAAGATACTTGGTAGACAAAACAGTTGCCTTTCAGAGCGATGTGAGCTTGCGGTCTATCTACTGTCACATGATACTGCGATGTCTAGAAGAATCTGAAGGCAGTAGTGGCTGATGAGAAGGAGCTTCGGCTGGGAGCATCAGCAATGTCTAGTAGCAGTCTGGTAGTGGTGGTATCAGTAGCATGTGCCGAGGCAGTTGAGTTCTATGTACGACTCTGAGTGACAGTTGATTTTAGGAGAAAAAACTTACTGCACTGCTGAAGCTCTTACAGAAGCTATTCGTAGTCACGAGGTGAATCGGTGCTGCCAGTAATTAATCTCCGGACCGGAAGTTACCGTACTGACCAAACATGCTTTGAGTCAGCTCGACCACACAAGGCTACACGTCAAGGCAGCAGTAGACGACCAGGGCTGACTCGTTTTCCATGGCGCCTTGCGGGCTAGATTCAATCCCCACCGCCAGCACCGGCGCTGTCGGCTGCAGCTGCTGCCGACAGCCTAGCAGCAGTGGCGCTGCAAAGGTTTCCCGCGGAATAAAGATGCTGGTTTTGTGGAGGCTGTCGGTTCGAGTATGGAAGACGCGTCATCCGCGTAATTCGAGCGATAGCAGCGCCCTTGACAGAAGCAGGTTCAGTAAACTTCACAGAAGCTGCGCGAGTCAGGCGAGGTGGCTGTGTTGGGGATATGGGGCCACGTTCGCCATGGATGGTTGTGGGGTTTGCTGCGGAGGTCCTTCAGATTCACCATTTTTGCGTCCTAGAATTGGAGTGCGAGAGCAGCAGTGTCTCAAAGGTGACATTCGTGCGGCCAATTCGAGAAGCCGAAATTGGTGCAAATTGAGCCCAGTGAGATGAACGGCTTCGATTAGATGGCAGGGAAAAAAAATCCCTGAGGCGGACCGCGGGAAGCCGGACCGCGAAACCCTCGGCATGATTTCGTGAGAATTCAACGGTAAACACATGCGTACAAGGAGACAACCTTTTCATGCATTTAAATATTAAGAATCAAAGTATACACCTGAAGATAGAGCACCCATAAGTGGGATAAAGGAGTTGTTGCTCATGATGTCCTTAAATAATGGGGTATGAGTGCTCTACGTTAGTGCATCCAGGTGAGTGCCTACGTCAGATTCAGATTCAGCAGAAGTAACAATTATATTTGCAATTACAGGATAACCAAAGGCACGCCCACTTCCACTACCAACCCTGCACACACACCCACACACACCACCTAACCCCTTCCACCCACACACACACACACACACACACACACACACACACACACACACACACTACCTCTCACAGCATCACGAAGCCTTAAACTAATAAACAGCCAATTCTGAAAACCGTGCCCGTTGCAAGCCACATCAGCAGCAGCAGCATTGACAAAAGGGACCCCAGCAACAACAGAAGCACCGACAGCAGTGGAGGCATTACCAGAAGCAGAAGAAGCGTATCGAGTGTCTCGCCTGCCGCTGCACAACCCCACTGCACTGTGCTGCTACCAGCACCTCCCATCTCCCCCTTAAATCATCGTTTTCGCGGTCTTCACGAACGAGCCAGCGCCCGCCTGCAGGGCACCCTTGGCGCCCTTGCCGCTGCTGTACGCGTTGAACGCCGCCGTGAGCGCGTCCTTGCCACCCTTCTTCACCACATTCTTCGCGAACCCTCCCGCCTTCTGCTCCGCCTCGCTCTTCGCCGCCTGACTCACCGCGTTCTTGAACTTCTTAAAGCTCTGCAGCACCCGCACCGCCTCGTCCAGCCCGTCCTCCGTCATCTCCCCCACCTCCTCCTCCTCGCCACCCTGCTGGTCCAGCAGCTTGCGGCCCCAAATCGCCGTGTCCGCCTCGTCCAGCCCGTCCTCCGTCACCTCCTCCTCCTCCTCCTCCTCCTCGCCGCCCACGTGGTCCACGTCCGCACCGCTGCTCGCTTCCAGCAGCTTGCGGCCCCACCTCGGCGCGACCACTGCGCTTCCCCCAGCCGCAACGTCACCCCGCTTTGGTGCGGATGCGGCAAAGAGCGCGGGGAGAGAGACGAGGACCAAGCCGAGGATGAACACGGTGCGAAGAGTGGCCATGGTAACGTGCGAGTTTCGAGAGCGGCGGATTTCGAAAGTAGCACTGACGATGGCGAACGATGATGAGGATCAGATGATTTAAGATTACATGAGGATTTTCGAGCACTGAAAGAAGAGACTCAGTCAACTGATGGTGAATGGCACACCGGAGGCAGTTGAAGTACTAGGAAAAGACGAGGAGGCGACGGTGGTGGACGGAGAGCGTCAGCTAGTCGCCACCATAATGGTACCACTTCAGCCGCTCGCGGGTATTGCTTGCAAAGGCGCGCAACACGCGAGAACAGATGGATGAGCATCGCACAACATGCGGGAAAAGCTGGATCCGCACAGCGTGACATTCCGCGCAATCACTGTGTGTGTGCTAGCAGCGAGGCTAGTACCGCTACCGCGTGATGCGCTGAACTCCAATTCGGAGTTGGACGACAGCGTGGCAATAATGGCTGGCGGTTCATTTCGTACCAAGAGCCCCACCAGATCGCCACCCTGGTAATTTTCGAGAGCTGTGACTAGCGAGACTCGTCTCCAGATGACGGAACTGGACAAGTGAGTGAGAGCAGTCCGCCGTCTCTCCAGCTCGCGGTTATCGCGGTGAGTGCCTGGCGTGTGTGGTGAGTGCCTGGCGTGTGTGGTGAGTGCCTGGCGTGTGTGGTGAGTGCCTGGCGTGTGTGGTGAGTGCCTGGCGTATGTGGTGAGTGCCTGGCGTGTGTGGTGAGTGCCTGGCGTGTGTGGTGAGTGCCTGGCGTGTGTGGTGAGTGCCTGGCGTGTGTGGTGAGTGCCTGGCGTGTGTGGTGAGTGCCTGGCGTGTGTGGTGAGTGCCTGGCGTGTGTGGTGAGTGCCTGGCGTGTGTGGTGAGTGCCTGGCGTGTGTGGTGAGTGCCTGGCGTGTGTGGTGAGTGCCTGGCGTGTGTGGTGAGTGCCTTGCGTGTGTGGTGAGTGCCTGGTGTGTGTCGTGAGTGCTTGATGTATTCAGATTCAGAAAAGCAAGTTTCTTTTCACGACCCCATACCATACTAGCAAAAGCATGGTAGCAGCATATATATTTGCGATTACAAAATAACCAAAGGAGCACCCAGTTCCACTACACTAACAACCCTACACACACTCCCACGTAACCCTTCCACCCACACACACCACCTAACCCTTCCAACCCCCCACACACACATACCTCTCCCAGCAGCACCACCAGGCCTGAACTATTGAGCAACCGATTCTTCAAACCGTGCCACTTGCAACCCACATCAGCAGCAGCAGACAGAAGGGACCGTGGCAACAGCAGAAGCACTGACAGCAGTGGAGGCATTAGCAGCAGCAGGAGCAGCGTATGGAGTGCCTTGCCTGCCGCTGCAGAACCCCACTGCACCGTGCTGCTACCAGCAGCAGCAGACACCACACCCGCTGCGCTGCTGCCCAACTCCACTCCGCCGTGCCTGTCGCCCCTCCCATCTCCCATCTCCCATCCCCCGCTTAGACCACCTTTTTCGCGGTCTTGGGGATGGAGCTACCGCCCGCCTGCCGCGCGCCCTTGGCCCCCTTGCCGCTGCTGCGCACATTCGCCGAAGCCTTGGGCGGCTTCTGAAACAACGAGGCCGCCAAGTCCCCCATCAACAAGTTCCTCTTCTTCGTCTGCTCATCGGCCTTCCGCGCCAAAGCGGGGTGACGTCACTGCTGGGGGAAGCGCAGGCGTGGACGCGGCGAGTTGGGGCCGCAAGCTGCTGGAAGCGAGCAGCGATGCTGACGTGGACGTGGGTGGCGAGGAGGAGCAGATGGGGGACGAGGTGACGACGGACGGGCTGGACGAGGCGGTGCGGGTGCTGCTGAGCTGGAAGAAGATCAAGAACGGGATCAAGAACGCGGCGAGCAAGGCGGGAGGGGTGGCGAAGAAGGTGGTGCAGAAGGGCGGCGTGGAGGCGCTCAAGGCGGCGGCCAAGGGGTACAGCAACGGCGGCATGGAGGGCGCGCTCAAGGCCGGCGGTGGCTCGCTTGCGCGCACCGGGAAAACGATGGTGTAGCGGGGACGGGAGTTGCGCTGTGCGAGGGGATGAATGGCGCGGTGAAGGCAGGCGGTGGCTCGCCCGCGCGCACAGCGAAAACTATGGTGTAGCGGAGACGGCGAGGGGATGGGAGGTGCGCTGTGCGAGGGGATGAAGGGCGCGGTGAAGGCAGGCGGTGGCTCGCCCGCACGCACCGCGGTGACGATGGTGTAGGGGGCGAGGGGAAGGGAGGCGGGCGAGGCAAGGCGGCGTGGTAGCGTGAAGTAGCCGGGGCAGCAGTCCAGCTGGTGTGGTGCCTGCTGCTGCTGATAGCAGCATGGTGCAGTGGAGTTCTGCCAGCTGAGTTGATGTGGGATTGTAGAACGGCGTTATAACGCTCCTGCTGCTGCTGTTGCTTGCTGATGCTGCGTGTGTGTGGGGGGGTGAAGGGTTGTGGGGTTGAGTTGAGAGTGTTATGTGGGCATGTGTGAATGGGGGATGGTTGGTAGTGGATTTTGGTATAGTGTGTGTCTTGTTATGCTGTGATTTCAAATACTTACGGTATGTTATTTAGCTGATGCCAAGTGTTGAGTCTGGAAGGTTAATGTCCTAAATCCGTCACGCAACAAGCACTAACCAAACACGGTAGGCATTTGCCATACACAAGCATTTGGGTTGTCTCAACAAATTTCATAGCACGAGCAAATACCATAATAAACCAGTCTATGCAAGCACCAGTTCGTAACAGAAGTGAACAAGCACCGTCCTAGTAGTAGTATCGAGAGATAGTTTTTAGGATCGAACAAGCGGCGTGGTACAAGCGCGGATCATGGAAAAATTTCGATCCGCTACCGTATTAAACCCAGGCTGTTGTTCGCTGCAACTTACAGAACCAGCTCTTCATCTGTCAGACAAGACCCGACGTGAACGTCGGAAGGGTTGCGTAGTCAGTTACATTCATAGATTTTAATAATATTGATTATATGTACGTAACACAAGTATATTGTATATATTTCAGGCCACATATACAAGTTATATCTACTTATGAATAATATAATACGCAATCCAATTATTATTATGGAATAAATTTCTTCTAGTAAGCTTGTTATATTTTTAAACTATATAACATGTTACATTATAGAAAGACGGTATTTTTCTATTGTTTTGCGGTAATGTCGTTTTCAGTATAAAGCTTCTGCTCTAATGGGGTACCTTACTCAGATAATTAGATGTGTGACGTCATTATACGTGCGTTTCACGTGACACTAGCTTCCAAGTCTAGAAGGTGTGTGTGTGTGTTTTTTTTTTCTTACCTGGTGCCCAAGTTCTGTCAGGTCTGCAATTTTCCCCTAGGTGTTTGTTTTCAATTCGATATCTACAACGTTTCTACCTCAATTTCCGATGGCTTGTTCCTTTTTAGCAGCTGCACGGCAACCCCAACGACCAATCCAACTTCCAGAACCAGAGCCTCGAATTTGAGTACTGTACAGTACCACGCCCTTGTTTGCCCCAAACCCCAACAATCACATCTCCCTCCCACCCACCCCGCCTCTCCTCCCAACCTCGTTCTTGCTGTCGCAACTACCATCTAGCCATCGCCCCTCCCACCCACCTCGCCATAGCCGCTCCCTCTCACCTCACCCCGCGCTCTTCCTCCTACCCCGCCGTCGCATCACTCTTAGCCTGCTGACGTCTCCCTCTTAGCCTGCCGTCGCCTTCGCCCTCCCATCCCGTCATCGCATCCTCCTCTCCTCCCGCCGCGCCTCCCTCTCTCATTCCGCCGTCGCGGCGGTCCCCTTGTCATCCCGCCGTCGCCTCCCCTTCTCATTCCGTCGTCGCCTCCCCTTCTCGCCCCGCCGTCGCCTCCCCCTCTCATTCCGCCGTCGCCTCTCTCTCTCATTCCGCCGTCGCCTCCCCCTCTCATTCTGCCGTCGCCTCCCCCTCTCATTCCGCCGTCGCCTCCCAATCTCATTCCGCCGTCGCCTCCCCCTCTCATCCCGCCGCCGTCGCCTCCCCCTCTCATTCCGCCGTCGCCTCCCCCTCTCATTCCGCCGTCGCCTCCCCCTCTCATTCCGCCGTCGCCTCCCCCTCTCATTCCGCCGCCGCCTCCCCCTCTCATTCCGCCGCCGTCGCCTCCCCCTCTCATTCCGCCGCCGCCCTCCCCTCTCATTCCGCCGTCGCCTCCCCCTCTCATTCCGCCGTCGCCTCCCCCTCTCATTCCGCCGCCGCCTCCCCCTCTCATCCCGCCGCCGTCGCCTCCCCCTCTCATTCCGCCGCCGCCCTCCCTTCTCATTCCGCCGTCGCCTCCCCTTCTCATTCCGCCGTCGCCTTCCTCTCTCATTCCGCCGCCGTCGCCTCCCCCTCTCATTCCCCCGCCGCCCTCCCCTCTCATTCCGCCGTGGCCTCCCTCTCTCATTCCGCCGTCGCCTCCCCCTGTCATTCCGCCGTCGCCTTCCCGCCGTCGCTTCCCATCCCGCCGTCGTCGCTGAATACAGTTCCACGAGTGCGAGCTGGTGGGCGAGCGGAGGTTGATCTCTGAGGCACCGTGATTCTCAGGTGCGTTTACCTTTCCCAGATTTCCTCCTCCCTTCCCTTCCCCCTCTAAATTATCTAACTCGTAGGGTTCTGTGTCGAGTTTGGTCTCTCTTGCGTTGCATTTGAAGGGGGGAGAGAGTGAGCGTGTGCACGTGAGTGAGCACGCAAGAGAGTGCGCGTGAGAGAACGAAGGAAGAGCTGGAGGGAGCGAGGGAGGGAGAACCAAGAACGTGTGGGAGGGAGCGTGGGAGGGAGAGGCGGGGGAGAGAGCACCTTCCACGCCGTGCACTTGCGCCGTTGGCGCGCCGTGGGCGTCTGCGCCTAAGCCGCTTGCGCTTAGGGCGCTGGCGCCGTGGGTGCTTGTGCTTAGGGCGCGAGTGTGTGTATGGTTGCAATGAGGAGTGTGCGAGAGGGTGAGTGCGGGTGTGAATCTTGATGCGAGTGCGGGTGTGAGTCTTGGTGCAAGTGCGATTGTGAGTGAGAGGCCGGGTACGAGGGTGAATGAAAGAGCAAGTGCGAGCGTGAGTGTGTGAGTGAGTGCAAGTGTGAGTGCGAGGGCGAATTTGAGGGTGAGTGCGAGCGTGAGTATGCGTGTGAGTGCGAGGTTGAGTGCGGGTGCTGGTGTGAGTGCGAGGTTGAGTGCGGGTGCTGGTGTGAGTGCGTTCGAGTGTGTGTGGTAGGTTGAGTACGAGGATGAGTGCACGTGTTTGTGTGTGTTTCTGTGAGTGTCGAAGAAGATTTAAGAGTATATGCGTGTGAGTGGAGAGTGAGTGCGAGAGCGAGTGCAAGGATGCGAACAAGGGTGATCGCGGGTGTGAGTGCGAGAGTGAGGTGAGGCTAGTGCAAGAGTGAGGCGAGGCTAGTGCGAGCGACAGTGTGCGAAAGCAAGTGGGAGGCTAAATGCGAGCGTGAGTGTGGATGTGAGTGCGAGTTCAGTTCGAGGGTGCGCACGACTGTGTGTGCGTGTGTGGGTGTTCATGTGAGCGTGAACCGAATCCGAAGGTGAGTGCGAGGGTTTGTGCGTCTTTCTGTGAGTGTGTCTAAGAGCGGTTGAAAGCATTCAAGTGTTCGTGAGTGACTGCGAGCGTGTGCAAGTGCAACAGGGTGATTGCGGGTTCGATTCCTGTGGTGCAAGAGCGGGCGCGGTGCAAGCGCATGCGCTTGAGGGTGTGTGCGAGGGTGCGCGCATGCGTTCAATGCGAGAGCAAGTGCGAGCGTGAGTGCGAGAGTGATTGCAAGGGTGAGCGTGATAGAAATACGATTGTGAGTGTGAGGGTGAATGCGAGTGTGAGCGAGAGTGAGTGCGAGTGTGAATGTGAGTGTGCGTGCAAGGGTGAGTGTGAGTGTGTGTGTGTGTGTGTGTGTGTGTGTGTGTGCGAGGTTGAGTGCAAGGGTTCGGGTGTGAGTGCAATGATGAGTGCGAGTGGTGAGCACAAGTATGATTGCAAGCGTGAGTGCGAAAGATAGCGCAATGGTGAGTTCGAAAGTGAGTGTGAGAAGTGCGAGGGTAAGTGTGAGTGTGATTGCGAGGGTGAGTGTGAGGTGAGGGTGCGTGCGAGGGTGCGTGAGATTATGTGTGCGTGTGCATGTGTGATTTTCTGTGTAGGTGCGAGTGTGAGCGCGAGCATGAGTGCAAGGGTGAGGCTAGGGTTTGAGTGTGTGTTTCTGTGAGTGTGTCTAATAAAATCTGAGCGATTGTGTGTGCGTGAGTGGGTGGGAAAGTGAGTGCGAGAGTGAGTGCGAGCATGAGTGTAAGGGAGAATGTGAGGGTGAATACAAGGCCGGCTACGGGGTACTGCATGCATTCTAGCGTGGATGTGTGACGCCACAATCTCTAATATCAAGTCACCTTTGTAACATGTCAAGTGTGTTTGTTTTCACCACTCATGTTTAGTTTTTGTATTGCACTATACATCAGTTTTTGGTGCATCATGTGAGCTGCATTATATGATTCCGTTTTCTTGTGTAGCTCATGCAAGTTGTACTCTCTGCTTTGTTGTTTGTGCAGGGAGTGTGAGTTGCATTTACTGTTTTTTCTTTCTTGTGCAGGGAGTTCACGCTGCATTCTTTGTTTCTTGTGGAGGAAAGGGAGGGGGGTCAGGGAGGGAGGGAGGGAAGAAGGGAGGGAGGGGAGGGAGGGGGACTGGGAACAAGCTAGCGATGATTTATACATGGCTGGACTTCATTAGTTATGCTTGCATGTTTATTAGCTGTATGTTTCTGCGTTTGTGTGTATGTGTGCACGTATGTGTGTGAGCCTGTATGTGTGTGCGTTCGTACGTGTATGTAGTGTTGTTTGTGTCCGTTTTGGGGTGAGGTGCTAAGTGCCTCGTGTATGCAACTGGGGCTGTGATCGTTGGTGGGGCAGCTTTGCTTGCCTCTTCCTTACCAGATCAATCTCAGTTGCATTAGCGATGCATTCTAGCATTAGCTTCGAAGCATTCACAAATGTTGTTCCTCGTTTTTGTACAACTTTGTGTGTCATGCGTTTGTGTATGCGTAGGGGTGTGATGCTAAGTGCCTCGTGTATGCAACTGGGGTTGTCATCGTCGGTGGGGCAGCTTAGCTCGCCTCTTCCGTACCATATCAATCCCAGTTGCAGCATTGATGCATTTAGTATTTGTCCCGAAGCATGCACGAATTCCAAATGTGGTTTTTGTACACGTTAGCGCGTGTTTATGTGTGTCTTTGTGTGTTGTCATTTGTGCTATAGTTTTGGTCCAATTGTTCCATTCGCCGTATTTATCGACGACTATGGAATAATTGGTTACATTTGGTTTCACATTTTGTGGAACTTATGTGAACAGTGTTTCTTCCCCAAAATTGATGGGGAAAATCACTGTTCATGTCAGTTCCCCGAAAAGTGAAACCAATTGTATAAGGTTGCTACGCAACCCAAAAATGATCTCAGGGGCGATCGGTCCTACTTCTCTACCACGCCCTCGCTGTGAACATTCACGAGATCGTCGAATGTGAAGTGGACTGAAGGCAGATTCTGGATCCCTGTAGCCTGTCAGGGGCACCGATGGCTCCTCCAAAAGCCAACGCCGTCGCCGATCGCGGCGGCGAATACCGCCGTGCTCCGCTTAACCACTCTCTGTGCGAAGATTCGTTCGAGTTCGCAACAGCGTCGGTCGCGCAGAATCCTTGCGAGGCGCCTCAGAAGTTCCGCCGTGCTCCCCCTGATCACGCCGCTCCGTGCGAGGACCCGTTTGAGCTCACAGCGTCGGTCGCGCAGGAGCTGCAGGAGGTGGAGTCGTTCGTGTCGCGCGTCAAGTCTCATCCGAATCCCCCAGTGGTCCTCCGAGACCTCGCTGTTCTCATGGAGCAAATAGTCCACGTAGGCGAAGCTCTTTGCCCCGTCGTCTCGCTTTCAAATTTCAGAGTTCTGGTCCCGTTCGGCGTTTTCCCTTTCTGATTGCGCGAGCAGGATTCCAGTAGCTTCAATGGTCGCGTTTCCCCTGTTGCTTGCTTTTAATGAAATCTGTTCAAGTTCCTATCGAAAGTCTTCATTTGGTGCCGTTTCACGTTTCGTCACTCGGGGTGTTATGGCATGATATTGCATGACATTTAATTGCATGGTATTGCATGCGTTGGATGGCATTGCATGCGTGGGATGGCATTGCATGCGTGGGATGGGATGGCATTGCATGCGTGCGTATGGTATGGCATAATATGGCATGGCATTGCATGTCATGCTGACTGGTTAGCCTTTAAAAGAGGACCTCGGCGTGTTTTCTAATCGTGGCGTAGAGCCTATGGACCTCTACAAGCGATGCACCTTCAAAGGCGGACGAGGGTGAGTGAGGTAGTAGAACTCGATGCACTTACCACAGTCACATTCACTACAGTAACATTCACTACAGTAACATTCACTCGAGTGGAAAACCTTCTTGCCAATAGGCATTCGACGTGGCAGCAGTTCCACTCCCTTCAGGGCGTAGTCCTCTTTGTAAGCACTTTATCCTCTATATAACGAGTCTGTGACATCCAGTGTGAATTCGTGCTTCACATTTCTCTTTGTCCTTCTACTACCTTCCCTTCCTCCACTTCCACCCCCCCGCTTCTGTCACATGTATGTACCCTCCATCCCCCTTTCCTCCCACCCCCAGGGCCATCAGCGCCCTCTATGCTCTTCACAATGTCGGTGGCAGGCTTTAAGGCGCTTCAAGAGTCCCTCCTTCCTCCCACCCCCCTTCCTCCCATTCCCTTCCTCCCATTCGCCCTTCCTCCCGTTCCTCCTTCCATGGTCCACCCACACCCACAGGCCCATCAGCCCTCCACCACACCATCGCTGCCAGCTTTTGAGGCACGTCAAAAGTCACCCCCCTTCGCTCCCACCCACCCACAGGCCCATCAGCTCCCTGCATGCTCTCCACACCATCGCTGCCAGCTTGCTTCCTACCGCCGCCTCTCTGCTCCCGCCCACTGACGGAGCAGCAGCCGCGGGAGCAGAGGCAAGCGGCAGGGCAGCAGGAGGAGCAGCAAGGGGGCAAGTTGCAGCAGGGGAGGCACGGGGGGTGGTGAACGCACACACGGTGGATGTGCTGCTGACATGCCTGCACAGCACTGCGAGCCAGAACACTGTGAGTGAGTGAGTGAGTGGGTGGGTAAGGGACACGACAGTGCCACGTGGCAATCAGTAACATGTGATACGCTGGACCACATGGTGGTGTGGTGTGGTGCCATGGCTTGCCCATGGTGACCCATCGCCCATGGTGACCCATCGCCCATGGTGACCCATGAACGTCATCACTCATTCCCTACTCACCTTCTTTGCTGCGTGCCGTCCCCGCTTCCCGCTATACCTCCCCCCCCTCACTTCGTTCCTACCTTTTTTCCTGCCATGTTTCCAACCCGCACACGCCAGCACACCCACACGCCAGCACACCCACACGCCAGCACACCCACACGCCAGCACACCCACACGCCAGCACGCCCACACGCCAGCACACCCACACGCCAGCACACCCACACGCCAGCACACCCACACGCCAGCACACCCACACGCCAGCACACCAGCGACGAAAGCAGCTATGCCCTTCCTCTCCATTTTCTCTTCTGCTCCCTTCCTCGCAGCATACACACTTCACAATGCTGCTCCTGCTGCTCCTCTTGTCGCTGCTGCTCTCCCTCATTGCCTGCTGGGCGATAGGGGTCAAACATTGCCAGCCACCTATTCACACACCCCCTTCCTCTCCCCCCCCCTCCTTCACTTTCGCACATCACAGCGCTCACACCTGCGCCTGCTGCCCTCCTCGCTGCACATGTTGCTCTGCTGCATTGACTGCAGGGCGGTCAGGGGTCAATCAATGGGAACCACCTCTTTCATGCCCATCCTCTCCCTCCTCTTCCGCTGCCCTCCTCGCAGCATGCGCACTTCACAGTGCTGCGCCTGCTGCTCTCCTCACTGGACGTGCTGCTGTGCTGCATTGACGATTGGGTTCTCAAGGGGAACCGCCTCCCAGCGCTGACACACGAGGTGAGCTGTCTTCTTGAGTCGACTCAAAAGCCGCCTGCTGCTCTCCTCGCTGCACGTGCTGCTTTCATGCATCGATGATTGGGTTCTCAAGGGGAAGCGTCTCCCAGCGCTGACACACGAGGTGAGCTGTCCGTGCTGAGCTGTCGATGCCGAGTTGTCGATGCTGAGCTGTCGGATGCTGAGCTGATGGCAAGGCGTTGAGTTGTCGTTGCCACCTGCTCTGCTGCCCTGGTGAGTGCGACTCTCTATGGCAGCTGGTATTATAGCCACTACTGGCCCGGAGTTGCACTGTGTTTCCTGGTGTGGTGTGGTGTGGTGTGGTGTGGTGTGGTGTGGTGTGGTGTGGTGTGGTGTGGTGTGGTGTGGTGTGGTGTGGTGTGGTGTGGTGTGTTGTGGTTATGTTTCGGCCTGGGATTTTCCTGATGTTCCATGATGCAGACACGCCATGCATGCAAGCAATACATCGTATCTTCTGATTCGGCTCAAACGTCACCTCTGTGGGGGCGCTCATGGTGCCAAAGCGCGCCATGCATGCATGTGTGCAGTGCAGAGACGATTGAGAACTCTGAATTCTCAAAAGACGAGCTTCCTGATCTCTTTCCCTCCCTGCGTGTGCGCGTATGAGGTGGGTTTTGAGGCGGCTCAAAACTCACCTTTTGAGGCGCCTCAAGACGAGCTTCCTGATCTCTTTCCCTCCCTGCGTGTGCGCGTATGAGGTGGGTTTTGAGGCGGCTCAAAACTCACCTTTTGAGGCGCCTCAAGACGAGCTTCCTGATCTCTTTCCCTCCCTGCGTGTGCGCGTATGAGGTGGGTTTTGAGGCGGCTCAAAACTCACCTTTTGAGGCGCCTCAAGACGAGCTTCCTGATCTCTTTCCCTCCCTGCGTGTGCACGTATGAGGTGGGTTTTGAGGCGGCTCAAAACTCACCTTTTGAGGCGCCTCAAGACGAGCTTCCTGATCTCTTTCCCTCCCTGCGTGTGCGCGTATGAGGTGGGTTTTGAGGCGGCTCAAAACTCACCTTTTGAGGCGCCTCAAGACGAGCTTCCTGATCTCTTTCCCTCCCTGCGTGTGCGCGTATGAGGTGGGTTTTGAGGCGGCTCAAAACTCACCTTTTGAGGCGCCTCAAGACGAGCTTCCTGATCTCTTTCCCTCCCTGCGTGTGCGCGTATGAGGTGGGTTTTGAGGCGGCTCAAAACTCACCTTTTGAGGCGCCTCAAGACGAGCTTCCTGATCTCTTTCCCTCCCTGCGTGTGCGCGTATGAGGTGGGTTTTGAGGCGGCTCAAAACTCACCTTTTGAGGCGCCTCAAGACGAGCTTCCTGATCTCTTTCCCTCCCTGCGGGTGCGCGTATGAGGTGGGTTTTGAGGCGGCTCAAAACTCACCTTTTGAGGCGCCTCAAGACGAGCTTCCTGATCTCTTTCCCTCCCTGCGGGTGCGCGTATGTGCGTGTGTGGCGTGCCCGTCAAATGATGCACTTGGCATGCGTTTAACATGTGCGTGCATGGCGTGTGCATGGGTGGGTGGCATGTGAGAGGCAAATTCGTGCCATGTGCATGGCATGCGTGTGACATGTGAATGGCATGTGAATGGCATGTGAATGGCATGTGAATGGCATGTGAATGGCATGTGAATGGCATGTGAATGGCATGTGAATGGCATGTGAATGACATGTGAATGGCATGTGCATGGCATGTGCATGGCATGTGCATGCATGACATATTCGTGTGCATGCGCCATCTTGCTCCACAGTTTTTTCTTAAAGACAACCTTAAACCCTTGCCAGTCCCCGCCAGCACCATGCCTTCCCCTCGCACCACTACAGCGACTGCCCCAGCTACAGCCACCACCACCACTATCCCCACTGCCCCCACTGCCACCGTTGCCACCGCTACCACCACTAATGCTACTGCCACTGCCCCCACTGCCCCGATCAGTGCCGAAATGGGATGTCTCAGCATACCCACCGCCCCCGGCACTGCCCCTGCCGCCCCCCTCCACCCGCACTGGCCGGCGTTTCTCGTCCCGGTGCTGGCAGACATACAGGCCGCGGAGCAGGGCGTGCTGTTCCTCAAGCACATGCAGGCGCGGGGGAGGAAGCAGGGCGCAGAGCAGGGGATTGGAAGGAAGATTTTTGAGTCAACTGAAAAGCCGGTGCTGGAAGACATTCAGGCCGCGGAGCAGGGCGTGCTGTTCCTGAAGCACATGCAGGCGCGGGGGAGGAAGCAGGGCGCAGAGAAGGGGATTGGAAGGAAGATTTTTGAGTCAACTGAAAAGCCGGTGCTGGAAGACATACAGGCCGCGGAGCAGGGCGTGCTGTTCCTGAAGCACATGCAGGCGCGGGGGAGGAAGCAGGGCGCAGAGCAGGGGATTGGAAGGAAGATTTTTGAGTCAACTGAAAAGCCGGTGCTGGAAGACATACAGGCCGCGGAGCAGGGCGTGCTGTTCCTGAAGCACATGCAGGCACGGGGGAGGAGGCAGGGCGCAGAGCAGGGGATTGGAGGAGGTGGGAGCGGAGGGAAGGTGAGCGGGGGATTGGGGAGCATGGGGAAGGAGAGCAGGGGAGGGTGGAGCACGGGCGTGGGGAGCAGAAGTGGGGGGAGCGTGAGGAAGGGAACAAGGAGAGGGAGCAGCAGGGCTGAGGCGGGGCAGCAGCAGCAGCAGCAGCAGCAGCAGCAGCAGCAGCAGCAGCGAGTGGGTGATGAGGGTGCGGGTACTGCCTCCGCCTCCACGTGCCTTGACTCGCCAGCAGCCAAGAGGCTCATTTCCGCGCACCTGTACCGCGCCCTCTACACACACCTGCAACCCAGTGCGGTACAGTCCGGTGCAGAACAGTCCTCCTCGTTAACTTCCTCCTCCTCCTCGTCCTCGTCAGTGCCCTTGTCTCCATTATCCCCCTCCTCCCCCTCAGCAGCATCTGTGGCATCGTTAGCATCGCTGTCAGCTGCGTCTGAGTCAGGATCAGAAGAGGAATGCTCGGTGGGGGAAGGGTACTTGGAGCAAGGCTATTTGATGGCGGAGGAGGGAGAAGCGAGATGTCGGGATGAGGTGCATGGCAGCGGAGTGGCAAGAGGATACGGAGGAGCAGCAGATGGTGGGGCAGCCGGATGGGGAGGAGAGGGGTGCAACGGGGCAGGAGGGTACGAGGCGTCGTACTGGCTGTGGAGGGGCGGTGTGGATGACTCTGCGGACTGGATGGAAATGGTGAGATTAGAGGGGTGCAAAGGGGTGGAGAGGGGTGCAAAGGGGTGGAGAGGGGTGCAAGGGGTGGGAGGGTACGAGGCGTCATACTGGCTGTGGGGGGGTTGTGTGGATGACACAGCCGACTGGATGGAAATGGTGAGATTAGAGGGGTGCAAAGGGGCGGGGAGGGGCGCAAAGGGGTGGGAGGGTATGAGGCGTCTTATTGGCTGTGGAGGGGCTGTGTGGATGACACAGCTGACTGGATGGAAATGGTGAGATTAGAGGGGTGTGAAGGGGTGCAAGGCGTGGTGAGAGGGGTGGCAAGGGGGGGTGAGGTGAGTGGGGCTAGGGGTGGTGAGAGGAATGGCAAGGGGTGGAGAGGGAAGCAAGGGGTGGAGAGGAATGGCAAGGGGTGGAGAGGGAAGCAAGGGGTGGAGAGGAATGGCAAGGGGTGGAGAGGGAAGCAAGGGGTGGAGAGGAATGGCAAGGGGTGGAGAGGGAAGCAAGGGGTGGAGAGGGAAGCAAGGGGTGGTGCACCGATTGTCATGAACCGAATCCCTTTTCTCTGTGGTCTTTGCCCTTATTCGCCACTGCCTATCGTCTTTTGTTGTATATCCATCACCATAACCTTCTTGTCAGTCATCCCAAGTTGAGACTTCCCACTCTTCTTTACCCGTTTCCCATCCATCCATGCCACTCCTGTGCGTTCGCGTTCGCCCCTTTGTCAACGAACACAGTTGGAGGAACAAGTGAGGCTGGGACGAGTGATAGCGAGGGAGGGGGGAGAGGAGGAGGAGGAGGAGGAGGAGGGGGAGGAGGAGGAGGGGGAGGAGGAGGAGCGGGAGGAGGAGGAGGAAGAGGAGGAGGAGGAGGAGGAGGAGGAGGAGGAAAGTTGGGAGGAGGAAAGTTGGGAGGAGGAGCAGCAGCAGCAGGAGCAGCAGGATGAGGAGGAGGAGGAGGCGGAATGGGAGGAAGGGAGCAAGGCAGTGACGGCGCACGAGGCTCAGCTCCGCCTCATGCTCTGGCTGCAGTCAGCTTGCGAAGCTTCTCCAGAGTCTGGTGCTGGTGGCGGTGGTGGTGGTGGTGGTGGGGCAGAGGCAGCGGAGAGGGTTCTGGATGATCCTACTCGCCTGCTGCAGCAGTGGATACATCCTCCCATTCAAGCGTGGGTGAGTTAGCGCGCATTTTGAGTCCACTCAAACTGCACCTAGACTCACGCAAACTGCACCTTCCACCCCATTCCGCCCCCCTTTCACTCCCCATCGGCTCTCCTGCAGGCCGCACTGGTGGCAGCACACACGGTGTGATGCCTGAAGGTGCACTGTTCCCCTCGCCCATTCCCGCATCATCCCCCATCACCCCCTCTCCCCCTCTCCCCCTCTTCCCCCCCTCCCCCCTCCTCTCCTGCAGGCCGCACTGGTGGCAGCAGACACGGTGCGATGCCTCAAGACGCACTGTGGCATCATGGGGACTCTTGAGGCTCTGAGGGACGTTTTCTTTATCGGTGGAGGTAACTTGCGTTGCATCTTACTCGTCTTACCCCGTGGAGGTAACATGCATCTTTCTGTCGTTCTGTCCTTCCGTGGTCGGACTCTTGAGACCCGTCTCTTCTTCACCGGTAAATTGGAGGTAATTCTTGCCTCACTCAACCTCCCCCCTCCCCTCCCCTCCTCCGTTTCCCTCCTCTTTCCATCCTCCCTGTCTCTCGTGCTGTGCTTTGTTGAGGCAGATGAGATGGTTGGACGGGATTTTGGGGCTTCTCTGTTTTTTTCACATATTATTGAGATCGCATTCCACTTTACCATTCGTGCTTTCTCGCAGTATGTGTGGCGGCGCCTCTCGTTTTGCCTGAGGCGCCTAAGAAAAGATAACATTTTCTTATGCGTTCTCTCTCACAGTATCCGTGGCGCCTCTATTTTTTTCTGAGGCGCCTAAAAGGAATAAAACATTTTCCATTCGTGGTCCCTCGCAGTATCGGTGGCGCCTGTGTTCCTTTGGGAGGTGTGGAAGCAGATGCGCTGCAACGTGCTGCCGCCAGCACACACCACCGAATCCCTCCTCTCCCCCCTTTCCCTGTCTGCCGTGCTCTCTCCCATGCGTGCTCCCTCCCTCCCTCGCAGTCTCAGTGGCGCCTGTGTTCCTGGGGGAGCTATGGAAGCAGATGCGCAGCAACGTGCTGCTGCCGGCACACAGCACCGAATCCCTGCAGCAACTCATGGACGTGAGTGGCGTGAGTGCTTGAGTGCAGGTGTGTATTGAGTCGACACTCAACGCACCAACGTGCTGCCAGCGCACAGCAGCGAATCCCTGCAGCAACTCATGGACGTGAGTGGCGTGAGTGGTGGTGAGTGGTGAGTGGTATGAGTACACACGTGTGCTGGATGGTGTATGAACGCCATGTACAATCAGTTCTGCCTCCTCTCGTTCGCGTTCCTTCACCAGCTACCCGGCCACTGCTGCCACGCAAACGCCACGCCCTGCTCCCTGCCCTGGCCGTGCAAAAGCATTCTGGCTGCCTCTATTTCATCCCTCTTCCCGCCCTCCATCTACCTGCCGCTTTGCCTCTCACAATCACAGATGGCAGTACACACCCATCTCACACATCCCTTCACCACTTCCTCTCTGTTTCCCCGGCCCATCTCACCTTTACCCCTCCTCCCCCCTGAACTCCCCGCTATCTCCCCCCTGTCCTCCCTCCCTCCGTCACTCCCTGCTCCTCCCACTCCCTCCCTCCCATTGCTGCATACAGGGTTTCCTCGCTACAGCTGCACATGGCGACACCTCTCCTCCGCCCTTCACTGCAATCACTGTCACACTCCGCAGCAAAGCCTATGACTCCCCCACTCTCACAACCTCACACTCTCCCCTCCACGCACCCTCTCCCTCCACCACCCCACCCACTGATCTACTGCCAACTGCCACACCATTGAATCCTTCACTTCCTTATGCCACTTTCACTGCCACTCCTTCTGCCGCTCCTTCTGCCTATGCCAAGCCGTTCGGCTCCCAGCCTACTAGCAAGGCCGAACCTGCAACTCCCGCCAGGTTCACTGCCCATGCCGGACCTATACCCTTTGCCGTGCCTCCAGCCTCGGTGTCATCCAAACCTTTCACCGGACCTACTGGGTCATCCTTGCTTGCGGGACCTACTGCTCGTGCCGGGGCTGGTGGCGCATCAGGTGCCAAAGCCTCAACGCCCATGCCCAGACCTGGAGGTTCGGGGAGCGGAGGTGGTTCGGCGATGCAGGTTCGGGTGACAGCAATGATGGAGCTGCTGGAAAGGATCCACATGAAGCCTGAGGTTAGTGCGTATACACTCTCAACGCTTTGCTGGTTGAGTTACACACGTTCTTGTTTCCTTTACTTAGTTTGTTTTCTTGTGGTCTGAGACAGCTGAGAGCACATGGAAATGCACGTGTCTGCTTTTGAGGTAACTTAAAGCAGGGCCGTGATAGTAATCAAGTGGGTCCCCTGCCCTGTGGGAGAGGAGAGAGGGTGATGGACATGAGGTGTACATGCTTGCATTCAGTGAGCATTCTCAAAAGCGACCTTCTCTATCCTCCCTCCTTCCCCTTTCCTGCCTGTGTGTTCGCCTGCGTGCCTGTCTGCCTGCCTGCCTGCCTGCCTGCCTGCCTGGCAGCTGGAGTGGCCTCTAGACTTCCTCACGCACCCTGCAGCATGTGCCAAGTACAACCAGGTGTGTGTGTGGACTGTAAGCATCTGTTGGAGCTCTTATAAGTGATCCTCACTCAGCTTGCAACAGATGAATTTTGAGACGTCCAATAATGCTATAAGAGTGGTCCTCTCGTGAATGCGACAGAAGCACGAGAAGCATGCCTCGTGAACACTATGCTTGGCTGCCACTAGCCAGCGGCTGGTTACACATGCACTCAGCCTCGACTTCTTCCTTACATGCCCACCCTTTGACCGCCACCACCTCATGGCGCATGTCTCACTCACCCTCGTGCCTCATCTCTTTCGTTATCTTTCTCGAGCTTTACCCGACTCTGCCAAGGCTTCTGTCCGACTTCTTTCCCCTCACACCCCTCTGTCTCTCCTCCAACCCCCCATTGCTCTCGCTGCTCCCCCCTCCTCTCTCCCATCAGCTCTTCTCGTTCTTCTCCAAGCTCTCTCTCGCCAAAACGGCTCTCACCGCCACCAAATCACGCATGCTGCAGGTGAGAGGCAGGCAGGGCGCACATGCGTGCTGCAGGTGAGAGGCAGGCAGGGCGCACATGCGTGGGGGGGGGTTGCCGGGAATCTGACTGGTGGGGGGGTAAAGGCAGGATCGAGAGTGTGCCATAAAGAACATGCTCCATGCTTGGGAGGCAGAGTGGGGTGTGGGGGGCGTCGTTCAACTTTTGAGGCGCCTAAAATAACATGCATGGGGGGTTGCCGGGAATCTGACTGGTGGGGGGGTAAGGGCAGGATCGAGAGTGTTCCAGAAAGAACAAACTGCATGCTTGGGAGGCAGAGTGGGGGCCGTCTTTCAATGGCTGTCAAGTCACACCAGTGGTGCTTTACGTTCAGCTGCATGCCTCTTTGTCAGCAATTACGAGAGAGGAGAGGAGAGGAGAGGAGAAGGGGTAGTCATGCAGTTGGAAGCATCATATACCAACCAGTGTCCGTTTTACAATCGGCTCCTCCACTCGCCCTGCACTCGGCCTCCACTCGCCCTGTACCACGGCAACCTCTCCCCCCCATTTGGTCTCATGCACCGTTCCAATCCAGCCTCTCCCGCCGCTTTCTCTCATGCACCAAGCCATTGGAAACACTCCCACGCCCCTGTGCCCTATCACATGGCAGGAGCGACTGTGCTTCTGTGGCGGCACAGAGGGAGCTGCTGATGGTGCAGCACATGCACCAAGCCACTGGAAACACTCCCACACCCCTGTGCCCTATCACATGGCAGGAACGACGGTGTTTCCGTGGTATGCCCATGGTAGACTTTTGAGTCGACTCAAAAGTTGTCCAATTTTAATCCCCCGCCCCGCCCCCCTGTGTCCTGTTGCATTGCATGGCAGCAGCAACGCCGGCAGTGCGTCCGTGGTATGCCCATGGTGACTTTTGAGTCAACTCAGAAGTTGTCCTTTTTCTAATTACCCCCGCCCCCCTGTGCCCTGTTGCATTGCATGGCAGGAGCGGCAGTGCTTCGGTGATATGCCCATGGCGGCACAGAGGGAGCTGCTGATGGTGCAGCACATGCAGCACGCCCTGCACGCCATCCACTCGTACCTCATGGCCAATGTGCGTGGGCAGTGCATGCAACACATGCAGCACATGCAACACATGCAGCACATGCAACACATGCACCACGTTGATCACATACAGCACATGCAGCATACCTTTCATCCCATCCGTCCACTCCTTCCTCATGGCCAATGTGCGTGCAAAGTTTTCACCTTGATCAGCAGATGGAACACATGCAGTACATGCACCTGTTCTGAGACGTCTCAAAGCTGCAGCACTTGCAGCATGCCCTGCACGCCATCCACTCCTTCCTCATGGTCAATGTGGGTGAGCAGTGCATGCAACACATGCACCACGCGCATCACATGCAGCATGCCTTGCACGCCATCCATTCCTTCCTCATGGCCAATGTGCGTGAGCCATGTGGCTGTAAAAGGTCAAATGCAGGCTGCAGCACATGCAGCAGTTTTTAGTTCATACAGTCTTTTAAGGTGTCTCAAGGCTGCAGCACATGCAGCATGCCCTGCACGCCATCCACTCCTATCTCATGGCCAATGTGCGTGCGGCATTCACCTCGTGCACCACATGCACCACATGCACCACATGCACCACATGCACCACATGCACCACATGCACCACATGCACCACACCAATGAAGGGATGCATCCAACCAATGCATCCATCAACCCTGCTCTGTTCCGCCTCCCCCTCTTCTTCTCTTCCTCTCTTCCTTGCACATCCAGTCTCCACCCTCTTCTCCCCTCGCGTCTCCTCTCCCTCCACTATCCCTATTCTTCCTTCTCATCTCCCATCCCTCCCTCTCTCCTCCCCTTCCCCTTCCAGGCGGTGACAGCAGCATGGCATGAGCTGCAGACGGCTATGGGCAGAGCAGCATCCGTGGTTGGGTGTTGAGTCATCTCCAAAGTCCCTTCTCCCTCTCCTCACACTCCCTTCCTCCTTCCCAGGCGGTGACAGCAGCGTGGCAGCAGCTGCAGGCATCCATGGGCAGAGCAGCATCCGTGGCTGGCTTTTGAGTTGACTCAAAAGTCCCTTCTCCCTCTCCTTACATTCCCCTCCCTCTCCTCTCCCTTCCCAGGCAGTGACAGCAGCATGGCACGAACTGCAGGTGGCCATGGGCAGAGCAGCATCCGGGGCAGAAGTGCTGCAAGCACACCACCGCTACCTGCACTCCCACACCCTTAATCACTTCATGTGATCCATCAGTCTTGCTCTTTTCCCCCGCCCTTTTCCTCCCTCCCCCCACCATCACACGCCCTCCCAGGCGGTGACAGCAGCATGGCACGAGCTGCGGGCGGCCATGGGCGGAGCAGCATCCGTGGCAGCAGTGGTGCAAGCACACCACCGCTACCTTCACTCCATCCTTGAGGGATGCTTCCTCGTTAATTCCACCAACATGGTCAGTCCACGTCAGCAACTCCGCCTTGTATCTCACTTTGCCGCGCTTCCATCTCCTCACTCGCACTGCGTGGCCTCATTCCCTGCAGTCGTTGTCCTCCTCATTCCCAAGCCCCTCCTCTCACCTTTCAGCTTTTTTGCTCCCCGTCTTCCTTCCCCATGCGGCCATCCACCTGACCCACGCCTCAGGGGAAGGCTATCACCGGCATGATAGTCTCTCTGTCAAGCTAAGACCGTTCTCTCTGCGCGTCTTCCTTCCCCTCCCATCACCCCACCCATCTGCACATCTTCCTTCCCCTTCCCGCCACCCATCTTGCCTCTCTCATCAGGGCAAGGCCATAACGGGCCTGATAGTCTCTCTATCCAGCAAAACCCTTCTCTTCTGCACGTCTTCTTTCCCCTCCCATCACCCAACCCATCCGCACATCTTCCTCCCCCTTCCCCACCCACTACGCCCCTCACCCCAGGGCAAGGCCATTACGGGCCTGATAGTCTCTCTGTCCAGTACGACTCTTCTCTTCTCTTCTACTCGCCCTCTTTCCCCTCCCGCCACCCCATCCCATCCTCATATCTTCCTCCTCCCTCCTGCGAACCACCCACCCACTCCCCAGGGCAAGGCCATCACGGGTCTGATAGTTTCTCTGTCCAGCAAGACCCTTCTCTTCTGCGCGCTCTACCACTCCCGCCGCTCACTGCAGCGCCCACACTCCATGTTATCGCCCACTGCATCCGCCACCACTTCTGCCACCATGCCTAGTGCTAGCAGCAGCACTCCAATGCGCACACACACCAGTAGCAGCAGCATTCCCGCATACACACCCACTGCCAGTGGCAGCAGGGGGGGTGGCAGGGCGGCAGCGGAGGAGGCGGCAATCAATGCGGAGATTCAGCAGCTGGGAGAATTTTTCCATGCTGACGTGTCGGCCATCCTGCAGGTAGGTCATGCTGGCGTGTCGGCCATCCTGCAGGTAGGTCATGCTGGCGTGTCGTCCATCCTGCAGGTAAGGCGCGAATTTGATTCAACTGCCAAGTGAGGCTACTTGGAGAACAAGGCTGCATTGCATTTGGAGCAAGTAAGGCTTCCAAATGCTGCAGATGTCGTTTGTAGGTCTTGGTGCTAATGTCACACATATCGGTAGCCATATGACGAAGTTGTGCATATACTCTGTCTCCTTGGTTGTTTCCTAGCCATGGTTTACAATGCTTTTCCCTTCTCGTTTCTGTAAAGGTGCTATCTTCGTCACACAACACGACATACACATCATGTTCTGTTTTCTCACGCGTACGTGTACAAACCACATGGCATGCAGGTGGCTCGCAACCAAGCAGAGAAGCTGCCGTCGAGCATTCGGGACCTTCTGCAGCAGCTGAATTACAACCGCTTCTACGGATGAAAACTCTGGATTTATCTACTTTATACGCTAATGAATCGTTCATGTGGCTGCACAACACAAGGCTTCATTATTCACATTAAAACCTCAAAGCCTATGCCTTCAATAAAACCGTTTTCTGTAACTATGAAAACAGAAATGTTATTAACTGGTGCTAGCTGGTTACCACTTTCCGTAGGCAAATTAACTTTCGCGTTTTCTCGTCAGACTCCTCGCTGCTCAAGCCTCTGACTGCTTCGCACTCTGGCAATCACATCATGGGTCCTCTCGAAGCACACACAATCCCGGCAGGACCAAACATTACATTACAACGAGCACAAGCTTCCCAGGGCCTACCGCAAGCTCACGCTTACACACCACGCCTGGGGCCTGCCAGCAGCGCAACCTGTCACGCCGCTTCAGAGCTCCTCCGTCCAGCCATCAGCCGCCGCGGCGCAGGCTCTATCTTTCCTCGCCGTCGCTTCCTCCTCAGCCATAGTATTGCCCTTTCAATCCTCGTTTGTCGCAGCATTTGCTCCTAATCGCTTGCTGCGGCAGCTCGTCCTGATTACGGTAGCAGTCCCTTAGTCGCCGTAGATTAACTGGACCTTCGAGCAGCAGCCGTCACGATCCTAGTCGCGTTCTGAGTCTTGACAGACGGACCGACAGCAAAATCAGACTGACCGGCAGTATTAGCAACCGGCTAGCCGGCAAAATGGGCGACAATCTCTTCACTCTCTGGCCGTTCCTCATGGTTCTCATCGGCCTGTTCCTCGCCGTCAGTCTGCTTCGCAAGCCGAGGTGGCGCGACGCGCACTGGTGGCTATGGCTCTCCCTCGCCGCCACCATCCTCCACAATTTCGAGGAAACCGGCTTCGACATTCTCGGCCGTCGATTCCCCATCCACGCGTTCGTCTGCGCACGGCTGGGATTGTACCGCGCGGAGATCGCGTTGTGTCCCGCCGACGCTCCCTTCTTCTTCCTCGCGAATCTCGTGCACACGTGGTTACTAACTACTATGGCGATTACGACGGGGCCGCGACAGCCGCTCGGCGCGGCGATCGCCGTCGCGATCCCGCTCATCGACGCCGTTTCGCACGTGTTTTTCGCCGCCACTTCGCTCAGTTACAACCCCGGTTTGGTCACCGCGATTCTCCTCACCGCACCTGTAGGTTTGGGGTTCTTCCGAACCTGTCGGGAGCGGGGTTGGCTGCCGGGCCAGCAGCAGTCGGTAGCCATGGCATGTGGCGCGCTGGTATTGGTCAGTTTCTGGTTTGGATTAGCTTTGGCAGCGGCGGGGCGAGTGAGTAAACCGGCGCTGTGGTGGGGTGAAATGGCCAAGGGCTTTCTGCCGCTGCTGGCACTGCTGTTCAGAAGAATACCCCTTGTTAAAATGTACTCCATGACCGAGTGATAGTGTGTGCCTACATACTTACCTACCTTCAGTCCAACTAGCACCTACCCAACCACTGAATGAGGGGAGCAGCTTTGGCATGGTGGTGCTGGTGCTGCAGCAGCATCTACCCCAGAGGCAGCAGCTTTGGTGGTATGCTGGCTGGTGGCACCGTAGCAAAGGAGGTTACGGCCCAGACCAGAGGGCAGCAGTGAGTTTTGCATTGCTTTCAGCCCTGCTACACACTGTGCCCCTTAAAGCTAACACTGTAAGGGGAGAGCGTCTTTTGGGGCTTTGTGCATTTATCAATAATAAACCAATGACTACCACCATTCACAGCCACACTGGCATACGTAAAAAGGAATGCCTGCAACATGAAAGTGGGAGGTTCGGTCAAAACTCTGAGCAGCATTGGCTGCACGTTGCTGGACGCACCTCCCCTCCCACCCACACCGTCTCAAGCACCACCGCTACTGCAAGTGAGATGGGGTGAATGGAGCTGTTCTGAGTGGGCCCCCCTCAACCCCCTACTCAAAAGCACATGAGCAAGCAGCAGGTCAGCTATAGCTGGAGTCACTCCTGACCGACGTGCACAGCTGAGTCGGCTGCATGCTGCTTGCTTGAGCACGTACACTTTCCCCCGGCAGAGCGCCGGAGAGAGTGTTGAGAGGAGACGTTCTAAGGACGTCCAGGAAGACTGTATTTGCCGCACATCACATTAGAGCACATCACAGTAGAGCACATCACAGTAGAGCACATCACAGTAGAGCACATCACATTAGCGCACATGAGCCCTAGCTAAAGTGCGTAGCGGCGTCGGCGGCATGCTGTTTTAGCACGTCCACTGGCAGAGCACCTGAGAGGTGCGTTGAGACGTCCCGGAAGAAGACCGCAGCTTCGTGCGCCAGAGCACAGAACCGCACAGAACCGCTATTCACTCTCATCACACAACGGCCGGCATATTACTCGTGACCAAAGTGCATAGCTGCGTCGGCGGCATGCTGCTTGAGTACATCCACTGGTAGAGCGCCGGAGAGGTGTGCCCACGGCAGCACCTCACTCTCCTCCACCTGCTCACACGGCATGGGACATGCATGGCATGGGGACAGACACGCATGGGGACATGCACACACACCGAGTCAGTGCATGTATGTGTGCGTGCGTGCATGCGTGCGTGCGTGCGTGTGAGTGTGAGCATGCGAGCAAACATCAATATCCAGCCAGTAGAGCATCTCCAGGCTTTCCCACAAAGCACACGCTAGCACCCCCCAAATTTAAAAATGCAACTCCACGCCTGGTCCAACCTGCCCTATCCATATGGTGCTCCAAGGGTTGCTTTTGAGAATTCTCAAATGGTTGTCGAGCTCCCTGCCACCTCCCAGGCCCCCCAAACCCCCTTAAACCCCTGAAACTCTCCAACCCCCACAAGCTCCCTCACGACGCACGCACCAGGACCCACCAGTCTGAAGGCGAGATATTCAGGCGGCGGCACGTGCCCCTTCATCTCCTTGAACACCCGGCACACAACCCCCCCAACCCCCAGCACTCTCTCCTGTCTGCAAACCCACCAGTCGGAAGGCGTAGTACTCAGGTGGCGGCACGTGCCCTCTCATCTCCTTGAACGCGCGCCCAAAGCTGCCCTGCGACCCACCAAACTCGCGCGCCCGCTGCAGCAGCCTCGATAGGCGGCGGTCGCCCCTTGAGAGCACAGCCTGGCGATGCATGGCCAAGGGGGATTGGGCGGAGGGAGGCGAATGAGGAACAGAGATGGTTGAGATTAAAGCTGCCCTGCGACCCGCCGAATTCACGCGCCTGCTGCAGCAACTTCGATAGGCGGCGATCGCCCCTTGAGAGAACAGCCTGAGGATGATTGGCCAAGGGAAATTGGGTGGGAGGGAGGGAGGGAGGGGAAAAGGTTGATTGAGAGGGGGGAGTGGAGGGGTGATTGAGAGTTGAAACCCAAACCGTCCTGCGTCCTTCCGAACTTGCGCGCTCTCTGCAGCAGCCTTGACAGACGCCGGTCACGCCGTGAGAGCACAGCCTGATGGTGATTGAGGGGGGAAGAAGGTGGGTCATTGAGAGTTGCAACTAAAACTACCCTGCGACCCGCCGAATTCACGTGCCCGCTGCAGCAGCCTTGACAGACGCCGGTCACCCCGTGAGAGCACAGCCTGATGGTGATTGACCCAAGAGGATGGGGAATGAGGGAGTGGGAAGAGAAGAGTTGAGGAGGGGAAAAAGAGGTGATTGAGGGTTAAGACCCAATCACTGCCTCACACGCTCCACTTGTAGCTCTCTGGTCGGAACTCACTCCACCACACCCTCTCCCCGCATATGCCTGGAGTTGACTTTTGAGTCGACTTAAAGGTCAACTCGCCTGGATCTAGGCATCAAGGTAGGAACAAGCACGCAGTCTTCTTTCTTGCACCCGCCTGCCACCACACACGCAAACCACTCCCCTTCTGCCACTCCCCTTTCTCCCCTTTCTCCCCCCCCCTTCCCCCACCTGCCACACGCTCCACTTGTAGCTCTCCGGGCGGAACACCACGCCCTCTCCCCACATGTGGGTGGGTGGGTCTAGGAACCAACCAAGGCAGCAACAAGCAAGAAATTCAACTACTGCTGTACACCAAGTGAGGCCCCTTTCCCCTCTTCCCCCCACCTGCCACGCACTCCACTTGTAGCTCTCAGGCGGAACTCTACGCCCACCTTCAGCATGTGTTAAGACGTCTCAAAACTCTCCACAAGTGTGTGGATCTAGGCACCAAGGTAGAAACAAGCAAACAGCCCTTCTTGCACGAACCCACCTGCCACACGCTCCACTTGTAGCTCTCGGGGCGGAACTCAACGCTCTCCTTGCGCATCTCCTTCTCCAGCACCCTCAGCCGCGCCTCTGCTGCTGCTTGCACGGGCTGCCACTGGAAGGGCGTGTGCGCCTGAGAGAAGATGATCGGGGTGGAGGGGAGAGGAGAACAGAATCACAAAGTGCTGCTGGGGGATGATTAGATGTCACAAAGTGACAGCCACTCACCCTTCTCCAGCACCCTCAGCCGCGCCTCTGCTGCTGCCTGCACCGGCTGCCACTGGAACGGCGTGTGCGCCTGACAGAAGGAGAGGGCGGGGTGTGGGGGGCGCGCGGTGGGGGGAGGATGATCACAAACCATTTCCTTCTCCAGCACTCTCAGCCGCACCTCTGCTGCCGCTTGCACTGGCTGCCACTGGAAGGGCGTGTGCGCCTGGCAGACGATGTACAGGGTGGGGGGAAAGGGAGAACAGAATCACCAAGTGCTGCTGGGGGTTGTGTGACATCCACTCACCCTTCTCCAGAACCCTCAGCCGCGCCTCTGCTGCTGCTTGCACTGGCTGCCACTGGAACGGCGTGTGCGCCTGACAGAAGGAGAGGGCGGGGTGTGGGGGGGAGGGAGAGAGCAACACACTAATGAGCTGATTTGCGCAGGTGCTGGGTTGGGGTGTGGCAAACCAACCTTCTCCAGCACTCTCAGCCGCGCCTCTGCTGCTGCCTGCACCGGCTGCCACTGGAACGGCGTGTGCGCCTGAACTAAAGGGTGGGGGGGGAGGAGGGGGGAAGGGAAGGGAAGGGAAGGGAAGGGAAGGGAAGGGAAGGGAAGGG